ATCAGAAATACAATTTGGCTGCCATGGCCGCTATTTTGCTACTAAGTTCTAATAGGCCGATCTCACTTAAAATTGGTCTAGGAATGATCAGCTCATGGTCCTGACAAAGTTAAGTTAACATTATACTATTTTTTACTCAAATTGGTACATATTTCAACAACAGAAATAAATACTGTAGACTCAGGTGACCGTTTAGGCCCATGGGCCTCTTGTTTGATTTAGCGAGCTAAAATGACAAATTTGTGACGAGTTAATACGCCAAAAAAATATGACATGGGTATATTCACTGGACAACACATGTACAGAGCTTTTGGAAAACAAAAACAGTAAATTAAAATCTTATTAAAATCTTTATGGTATTGGCATTACAGGGTCATTTATGCGTTAGATAGCTGTGACATATTGAGTTGTACCTACAGGGCGTGGTGTTGGGAGATACGATTTTGGAGGTTAACGGGACGGACTTTCGCCACCTGACCCACGCCGAGGCGGTCACTCTAATTAGGAATGCATGGAACATCATCATTTTGGTCCAGAGTGGTGGACTGCGGCGTTCCCGCCAAAGTCAGAGTAAGTCTGTCGACCATTACAAGGCCTACGTCTATACCTATATACATAATTATAATGTAAATTGTATCTTCTTAGTACTAATATCTATACATATATGTACCTAGTGAACTCGAAAGCAGACCTGTATTTAGCTTATGATTCATTGTTTATATGTTGACAATTAATGCAAGAACAATTATCTGCCCGAGGCTTTGCTTTAAAAAGAAATAAAATTGGCAGGATATGATTTGTTTATTCACTGCATCTATGTTGCATTGAATTAATCATCACAAGATGAATGATGACATATAGAGTTTACTTTCATGTTTGATATCGTGTCAATGTGACGTGATTTATGCGCCCATCACAAGGTCGTGTGTATGGTAAATGTCCTCCCACACACTACATATGTAACCTCTTGTTTCAGGAAAAGTTTCGGAACATCTACAAGTTGTTGACCTGGAAGTGGTGGTGTATCCCTCTGTTGAAGGCAGACTTGGCTGTGCTACCAACAGGTAACAATCCGCATACGTCAAACCTCCACACAGGTTGTCTGTCTGTCTGTAAATACGTCAAACCTCCACACAGGTTGTCTGTCTGTCTGTAAATACGTCAAACCTCCACACAGGTTGTCTGTCCGTCTGTAAATACGTCAAACCTCCACACAGGTTGTCTGTCTGTCTGTAAATACGTCAAACCTCCACACAGGTTGTCTGTCTGTCTGTAAATACGTCAATCCTTCACTCGGGTCTGTCCGTCTGTAAATACGTCAAACCTCCACTCAGGTCTGTCTGTCTGTAAATATGTAAACTCTCCACACAGGTCTGTCTGTCTGTAAATATGTCAACTCTCCACTCAGGTCTGTCTATCTGTAAATATGTCAACTCTCCACTCAGGTTTGTCTATCTGTAAATATGTCAACTCTCCACTCAGGTCTGTCTATCTGTAAATATGTCAACTCTCCACACAGGTCTGTCTATCTGTAAATATGTCAACTCTCCACTCAGGTTTGTCTATCTGTAAATATGTCAACTCTCCACTCAGGTTTGTCTATCTGTAAATATGTCAACTCTCCACTCAGGTTTGTCTATCTGTAAATATGTCAACTCTCCACTCAGGTCTGTCTGTCTGTATATATGTCAACTCTCCACTCAGGTCTGTCTGTCTGTAAATACGTCAAACCTCCACACAGGTTGTCTGTCTGTCAGTAAATACGTCAATCCTTCACTCGGGTCTGTCCGTCTGTAAATACGTCAAACCTCCGCTCAGGTCTGTCTGTCTGTAAATATGTCAACTCTCAACACAGGTCTGTCTGTCTGTAAATATGTCAACCCTCCCCCCAGGTCTGTCTGTCTGTAAATATGTCAACTCTCATCACAGGTCTGTCTGTCTGTAAATATGTCAACCCCCCACTCAGGTCGGTCTGTCTGTAAATATGTCAACTCTACACACAGGTTGTCTATCTGTTAATATGTCAACCCTCCACTCAGGTCTGTCTGTCTGTATATATGTCAACTCTCCACACCGGTTGTCTGTCTGTAAATACGTCAATCATCCACTAAGGTCTGTTTGTAAATATGTCAACCCTCCACTCAGGTCTGTCTATCTGTAAATATGTCAACTCTCCACACAGGTCTGTCTGTCTGTAAATATGTCAACTCTCATCACAGGTCTGTCTGTCTGTAAATATGTCAACCCTCCACACAGGTTTGTCTGTCTGTAAATATGTCAACTCTCCACACCGGTTGTCTGTCTGTAAATACGTCAATCATCCACTAAGGTCTGTTTGTAAATATGTCAACCCTCTACACAGGTCTGTCTGTCTGTAAATATGTCAACTCTCCACACCGGTTGTCTGTCTGTAAATACGTCAATCATCCACTAAGGTCTGTTTGTAAATATGTCAACCCTCTACACAGGTCTGTCTGTAAATACGTCAACTGTCCACTCAGGTCATCTGACTGTCTGCAGATATGTCAACCCTCAACACTGGTCGTCTGTCTGTCTGTAAATTGGTCAACCCTCCACATGAGTTGTCTGTCTATCTGATAATATATAGACAGTATCTTATACAGACAACACCTATGTCTTTCATCCAAGATTCATGAAACTCCTCTGATATAATCACTATGTGCGCAGTCTACTTGATACAGCTATTTTAAGCTCACAGCATTGCTCATGTGAGCTATTGCCATCTGTCTTCATCTGTCATCGTGCATTGTGCACTTAGTGTCATGTGTTGTGCATTACCATTTTCAACTTCCTCTTCAGAACCACTGAACTGATTGACTTCAAACTTATTATAAATGTCCCTAATGACATCCCAACCAAGTGTTGTTATTTTTGGTGTCAATCTGAAAAGCCAAGGTGACAACCTTGGCCTCTGATTGGCTGAGACATTTTCAATTTGAAACTTTTCTTAAAAAACAACTATTCTTTACTTTGTCCTAATCTCTCCCCCTTCAGTTTTCATCCTTATTTTGTGAAACTCCTCAGATTCAATCACACATTATGAAAGTTTTTGGATCCTGCTGTTTTTATGGAAATTGTTGTCTCTTAATATCACTCGCTGTACATTGGAATGGGGATATTTGTGAGGGAGTAGATCTGTTAACCTAGGACCTACAGTTTTCACTTCCATTGCAGGAGGAACAAGAACAAGGTTTTGGTGGTGAGATCAGTAGATGCTAACTCACCAGCGCACAAGGCTGGGATATTGGCTGGAGATTTAATCACGAAGGTACATGTAGGAACATCCTACTTTCTTCCTCAAATATGAATGAAATTTCAGACACAGATTTATAATTTTAAAAAGTTCAACTTTTCCGAGGTAAAAGCCTGGAAATGTGCAGAAAGTTCTAAATTTTTTAGTTAATTTTTTTATTATCAGTTTTTAAAAAAGTACTGAAGAAGTCATTATTCCACTGGCGCCAATAATTATGAAAAAGCACTTTTCAGATGCTTTAACTAACACTGAAGTGGCTTAATGGTATCTTGTCTAGTTTTTCCGACACGTCTTACAAAACCGAAGTGTTTCAATTAACATGGTCCCACTGCTTTCCCTGTTGTAATTTTCAAGTGTTTTATTTTCAGATTGATGGAGTTGACATTCGCTCTCTGACTGAGCGACAGATTTCTTCCCTTACCCGGACAAAGCGCCTCATGATCTGCATCCGTCGTGGTGTAAGGTCAACAGAGAGTAAGTAAGCCCCACCCCAGGGAATATAAGCCCACCCCAGGGGCCAGATGACCACCTTTTACGTGTTGTTTTTGGTGTGACCTGTTGTGAACGAATAATGTAAATCATTTTGTTTTTTGTGATATTTAAATTTTTGCTTAAAACAGCGAGAACAATAGTTTATAAATGAGCAAAATTGTTCCTGTTTTATTTGACATTATTAAGGAATGATCAAAGTCTTTATTCATTTTGCAAATTTAAGCCTTTGCAAGAGCGATCCCAAAAATAAGTGTTCACAAAATACAGAGTGATTTACATTAGATGTGTGTTTCCATGTAGTGTTTGCTGCATGACAAACTAATGATAAGGACGGCTTCTGTCGTGATTTGTGGACCAGTGTGTGGTTAACGGAATATAGAGGAATTCATGTGGGTCTTGGGAAATTCGGTTTGTATGTGTGTTTAGAGATCATCTTCCTTTGGTGTCCCATGTCCCTACAGGCCCACAAAAAAGTATCCTAATCAAACAACTTCATTGATAAAGCATAACCGATCTAAGAATCATTTCTGGTTGTCAGTGTAATAATAAATGATCTAGTTTAACAAAATTTTGTTCCAAGTTCATTATTTACTACACATGAATCAAAAGATGCTTTCATATTCTGATATTTAAAAAAAAAGTTTTTGTTTGAGTATAAACTGTCTGTTAGATTTGTGACCAGTAAATTTTATGCAGTTCAGTAAAATATATTAATCCCACTTTACTTTACTTGCCTACCTTCAATGCGAAATCAGGGTCAGGAATTTGGATACTTTAAAAATTGTCTTAGGGTTTGTTGAATGCTTGATATATATCTGTCAGTCACTTTAATTTTCACTAGAGAGTTCTGAACAAATTTTCTGTGGATTTTGAATTTGATCTCAGTGTCACTAGAGGGCGCTGGGAATTACCTCTGTGGGTTTGGTTAATCATCCCGAACTCTAACTAGAGGGTGCTGAGAATGGCCTCTGGGTTTTGTAATTCATCTTCAGCTGTTGTTACTAGAGGGTGCTGGGAATGGTGTTCTCTTTGGGTTTGGTAGTTCATTTGTTTGCCACACGCAGGCGCTGATAAACATTCTCCGTGGGTCTGGTATGGTAGTTCATCTTCCTGACACTAGAGGGTGCTGGTGTATACATGGATGAGATAGACATTGCCCATATGCTTCCTGTTCTGTATTTCAGCCCAGCCATAGTGGTAAGCCAGGCAAACCTCTATTTCTATGGTAACACCCAGGTAACTGTCCAGTACCTCCATTCTCCCATCCAAATTTTGTCAATCACAGATTTGTTTAAAAGAAATGAAAACGGAAAAATAAATCTAAACTGAAAAGTCGAAAAAAATAATACTTGATAGGCTTCTTTATTGTTCAGTGAAGAACTCTGATATTGAAGACAAAAAAATCAAGATGAATCTGTAAAAAATATATTTCAGTAGAAATTTATTGTTTTCTCATTATAATCAAAAACATTTCATCTAGATAAAGATTTTGTGTAACTTTGGAATTCTGAAAATGAATTGATAAAATGTAGCCTTGAGAAAAGACTTAAACCCTTTCACCACTGAAGACCATAATAGACTCGTCCTGGTCAATGCATGGTAGAGTCTACTAAAGTTACATAGGGGTGAAAGGGTTCATGAGAATGGCTATAGCAAATGTCATCAGAGCTTGACTAAAGTCCAACTGGAGTATTTATCATAAATGAAATACAGTTCATAATTTTAATCATATAACCAAAAAAAAAAATGACTTTTGTATTGGAGTAGGTTGTTCATATTTTCCCGTCGGAATAAAGTGTTATGATGTCCCGATGATGTCCCGATTTTTCTGTACATGGACAGTTACCTGACCTATATATATATATGATATGAATACTCTTTAAGGCGTCTCTTCACTCTTTAATTAGCACTGTTTACTAATTGGAATTAAAAAATCTGTGTACATGTATTATCAAACAAACACTGACCGTATAACAATGTGAACTGTGTAAATACAGTCAACTAAAACACTGACACACCCAGTATGGTATCCGATCACGCATCGGCAAGTATTTCACAAATATACAACTTCATTCACAATATACTTGATAACACTCAGGGATTCCTGTCTATTTTGTTCATTGCCCATTTCTTTTTAAGTTGGGTATGTTTGATGGCATATTAAACCCAGAACTATGGATTTTCTTAAGTGTTTCTTATTGCATAACACTTATTAGGAAATATAAGTAAAATCTAATTTAAGCACTTGTATATATTGTTTCATGAAACAGGATCAGTAATAATTTGGCGGAAACTAGTCTAAATCTTTTTGAAATGTTAAAAAAGGAAAAAATTTCAGAAAGAATGAAAATTAACAGATATGTTGCATGCTCTTTATAGTCATAAAGGTAAATCTGCATGTCTTAAAATATATTTAAGGACATTTTCTGCATGAATTAATATATAGAGAAATTTTAACTAATTCTTGTAGCTACTCAAAGCTAAGACTACACTTCAAATTAATTCAGTAATATAGTTTACCTAGAAATGCATGATCACAACCTTCAAGTAACGAAGTCTACGATACTGCTGTAGTACAGAGGAGTATCCAAGGGAGACAACCAGAAGACTCCTAGAAGTCTTTAGTCCTGCATGCTTTCCTACAATGTTGCTTTAATAATACTAACGCTTTTTGTCAACTCTAGAAAAAAAAGGGAAAAAAAAAAATATTCAAATTTCTCTTGATAATTTTAATATATTATAAATGAGAAAAATATTGAATTTTTAATTGATCCCTGATTATTTTAACGGCAGGTGGAAAAAAAAAGAAAAAAAAATTTAGTCGGAAAACATTTTCTAGTTTTGTTATGGTTTCATAAAAACATTTTCAGTTGGTAGATTTATGTACAGGATGTACATATATAAATGTTCAGACAAAAAGAATGTAGCTGTCAGCTGTTTAGTCCTAGATATTTAGCCGGCCTTCATGGTGAACATTCATTTGCCACAAAAAATACCTCTTTAAGCACAGAAATTGTTGTACGGGGGTGGTACGTGTGTTTTATTAAAACCATTACGACATAAACTAATCCATGCTGTATGGCAGTGTAGTAAATGGTAAAAGATAGTGTAGCGCAACCTTGAAGTATAGTGTGCAGTGAGTTACCTCCCTTCCTATACTAGGGTATTATGGGATCACACACATGTTGTAAGGAGCCATTATCATGAATAAACACGCCACAGAGCATGTTCCTGAGAAATGACTTTTAAGTTATTACAGGCCAGAACATTTGAAATTTACAAAAAAAGGCACAGTAAGTGCAATAACTAAAATACATGATATAGCACAAAAAACTTACAATTAAAAAAACCTTGTTGAAGACACTTATAAAAAGTTCTGATCAATATTGGATAGCTCTGATTGTAAGAAGGCATTTATAAGAATATATACAGTTTGAGATGACAGCAGTATAAACTATAGGGTATGCAAGTCTTCTCTAATGAAGTTAAGTATAGTAGTATAAACTATAGGGTACGCAAGTCTTCTCAAATGAAGTATAGTATTTGTGTTCCTGGAATTCTTAGTATAATGTCATGTGATTTGTTTATTTAAGCTGGCAGTCCAAGACCTGGGAACAGAGAGCGTCCTGGAAGGTAAGTCTATTTAATTCTGAATAGAAGTAACTCAACAACTGATTTGTTACAAGATTCACGGATGTAACAGCCTACATGGTTGGTTATTAAATTTCATTAAAGTAGGATTATTGTCTATTAACTTATTCACCCCTACATATTTAAATTGGACTTGTCCAGTCTTTGATTTGGTAAGGTTCAAAGGTGACTTAAGGGGTGAATGGGTTAAGTTTCATGGAGGCATGGGATTATAGTGGCTTTTATATTCAGGAATAAGCAGTTTCTTTCCTCAAATCATCCTGTGAAATGATACATTGATATTTTTTTTCTGTAATGATGAATTTCTTGATTGGATGGACAAGCATCGATCTTTTCACAAATCACCAATTTAGCTAGGTATCAATTTTTCTCCAGTAGAAAAAGTGAAGTATTGGAATAGAAACCCAAAAAGCATTGCCATGAATCTTTGCAATGGCTTACGTGCCAACCTTTCGCAACTTTCATGTTTGAGAATCTGTATTGAGAAATTTTAACAAGAACCCATACTTGACAAAAACATAGTGAGAAATTATGTACCCGGTAGATAGCTGTTCTTTGTAATGAATTGATTTAATTTTAACAAAAAGCAACAGGGAGGAAATTCTAATGATTTCAAAATGTGAAATTCTGGAGACTTTCTGTTTAAAATGGCGAGACTTCACAAGTGCACTATAAAGCCCTACAAAAAGTGACCAATGTGAGAAAAATAGAACTACAATGTAGGTGAATATCAGCAGTTTATACTTAGTGCTCTGTTGATCTTCTAATGTTTGTTTTACTTCGGATTGATCACTAATTGTTAAATATATTCTTACAGCAGCAGTAAGGGAAGAGGTGGCTCACCCAACAGAAACAGATCCAACAACTTTCATGACAAACCAGAAACAGACTTGGAGAGGTTCACACAGGCATTTGGAACTATGGATGTAGATAATGAAGACGGCCAAAACGGCAACTTTAACAAAACAAATCAAAACAATAATAAGAATAATACTAAGGACGGAAACTGGATGCTTACCCCTAAAGAGGACCCTACCCCCAAGTTCTTCCACCGTAAGGAGTTTATTACAGCCCCTAATGTCCAGACGCGAGCCAGAGCAGATAGTCAGGGTGCCGCGCAGTTTGAGCGTCGGAGTAGGAGCCGTGGACGTGACGCCATACAGGTGGTCTGGGGCGGTGGTGTGCGACGCTACGTCAGATCACGTTCCCAGTCTCCCCATCACACCCAGAGATCCCGACGACACTCACGTAGCATGTCTCGCCGCGAACAAGACATCCTGATGGCGATTCAGATGGGTGTGGAGAAACGACAACGTGCGCTACGCCTATCTCTGTATCAGACTCCCGATAACAGCGATCTGGATTGGGAACTGTAGCTACCTAGGAGAACTAGTATTTCAATAGTTCCCCTAGATTAGTGATCGATGCTGCGAATAAACGTTGCCATACTTACGATACAAGATATAGTATGAAGGTGGGAGAGCCTCCCTATTGTGCCAGAATAATCAAAAGAATTGATAAAAATAGTGTTCCGATCAAGTTTGTAAATTATGTTCTTTTTGTTATATTCACATGAGTTAGTGACATTGGGGCATTGTGCTATGTTCAAATTACTAGTAACATTTATCGCTACTGTTACATTTCGATGAATTAATCCATTAAACCAGTAACATGTTCCCCTATGGGCCACTTCTATCAGTCATTGTTTAGTGTAAGTCCCACTGAGAGTGGTCAGTGATTTCAAGATGACCACTGCCACCATAGCCCATTATTGACCAATGATGATAACATTGGTGTATGGCCCAGTGGGTTGAACATGCAAAGAACAAAATCCACATCTATCTCCCTTGTTACTGCAAATGTGGACTTCAATGCAAAACTGTGATCGTTTACAAAAATAAATTTGCAAGTGGAATATTTATTCGAATTTCCTCTGATTCAAATTTCTGAATTTTCGTTATGTGAATACAGAGGATTTCGGCTGAACAATGACGCGGTAAGATTTGCTCTGTGTTGAATTTTGAAAGCACATTAATTGGGATTTGTTGAATGTTTTGGGTGTGTGAGTTTATGAATCAAATGAAATTTTCAAATGAACTATTTATATACTATTGTTACCATTATAAATAAATTGATGTGTATTTGTGAGGAAAGTGTGTGTATAATATATTTATGTACTAGTATGAAATTAAACCCCATGTGTATGTTATCATTAGGGATCTAGCAGGATTAACTCACTTACCCCTGAAATTTCATAATGAACTATTCCAACCTTTGAACTTTAATGAAGAGTTCAAATGTGTCTATAGGGGTAAATGAGTTAAATCCCTCTAAATATTGATGTACCAAACTTTATATTACAATGTACCAAGAATTAAATCATCACATCATTTATATAGACATGTGCTGATTTTTTTTCTCCTCAAAAAAATCTTTAAATCAATATTTATATTTGTATTGTTTATAAATCCATTTAGTAAGAACATGTAAATGTTACTAATCTTTACAGGGGTTTATCCAAATTTCATCCAAATTTCATCCAAGGATCTGTTTTCCAAAACCCCTGCTTTGACTTTGACAAAGAATTTTCTCAATTTTTGAAGAATCTTATCCAACTGTTGCTTGTAAATTAAGTACCTCTCATGGTTTTATTACCTTATTTACAAAAAATACTTCAGTGTATCTAACCTAATAATCTTAAAAAATATATTCATTATCCTTTAAGACAAGACAGAAAACTTAACAAATTTGAATTCTAAATTTCCAGCCTGCATCGGCTAGAAAGAAACGGCCAAATGGTTTCATTTTGTGTTCAATTTTCTAGATGCACAATTTTCATTTCTCTAAAGAATTCAAGTGTCTTTACTAGTGTCAACTGTAAACAAATGGACAAAGTGCTTTTAAATTTTACAAAGGTGCTGTAGTGGTGATATATCATATAAAATCTAGCATTTATAAGTAAATGTGATGACCTCATTCACAAAGAAATACTGTAGTTGACCTTCATTAATCCCAGAGGAAATCACTTCCGAAAACCTTTCTAGTGCTCTTATATAAATAGAATAGTTTTTTTCAAAGAAATCATCAGATTACTATCTTGATAATTTGATATAGTTTGTCCTAGTTTCTTTATAAGAATGATTGTGGATGTAGGAGGAGCTGGTGGACAAGACTGTGTTTTGCGATGTTGAGTTCATGATCACTGTAATGTTTGAATCAGATTTGACAGGATTTATTTCATAATGATAATTATTGCAACTGCCTTAAATGATTGATGTGTGTGAGTGTGTATATGTATATATGTGTGTGTGTGTGTGTGTGGTTTTGATATGTACATAGATAATAATGATCATCACCATTGCCTGACTGTGGTATGGATAACCCAGTGTTGGGTTGACGTACGATTTAACTTGTGGGTATCAGTTGAGTATTCGCGGCTGTACTGTACTTCAGTCTTTGAGTGTCCCCAAGTGCCGTGTGACGCAGAATGACACCTATTTATATTGTCCCACAGCATCTCGTGACACAGAACAACACTACGGAGTATCTCGAGGGCATCTTCTGACACTTTAAACAGTTTGAAACACACATTAAGTATCAGTTGAGTATTCGCGGCTGTACTGTACTTCAGTCTTTGAGTGTCCCCAAGTGCCGTGTGACGCAGAATGACACCTATTTATATTGTCCCACAGCATCTCGTGACACAGAACAACACTATGGAGTATCTCGAGGGCATCTTCTGACACTTTAGGACAAGTGTCCCAGGGTGTCTCCAAACAGTTTGAAACACACATTGAGTATCCAAAGTCTTCGTTTGCGACTCATTTTGCAACACCTGTTAATGTGTTGATATGTCCTAGGATGCCATGTCTTACACACATGCGACGCTCAGTTTTTGAAATGCTGATCATGTGGTACAGGGAAGGATGTACAGAACAAAGGATTGCAATCGCTTTTCACTTGAAATAGAATCTTACGTCAACAGCATATTTTGAACAATCTTGAATTTTATAAATTGAATCTTCCTTGCCTTTGAATACAGAATTGTTGATCATCTTTTCACTTAACATGCAAAGGTTGAAGTTAGGTGTACAGTTTTGTGACTCAAAGAGCAACCTAGTACAGAGATGAATATTTTTGATCAAGTGCTTTTTCATCATTATCACAAATTAAATATTTATCCTGTACAGTATTAAATATTTTTCATTAATTGTGCCTTCAAAATGTGTAACTTCATGGAGGGAAATTTACTTTTTGGACACAGTTAGATCAATATTTTACAAGTCCAATATAAGAAAAAAGAGAAATGAATAATTTATAATAGGGAATTAATGCTGTATCTCATTTATACTTCAAGCATCAAAGTAAAACAAAAACAAACAAAAAAGGCAAAAAAATCAGTAAAAAAAAAAAAAAACAGGACACATTCCAAGTTTAAATGCAATTTTGTTACATTTAAGTAGTCAAGTTGGGAAGGGTTGAAAACAAACATCCGAGGACATTCAACAAAATAAGTATGCAAATGTCTTGTGACCGGTGCCAATCACAATCACCAGCTATTTTCTGAAGTAATCAAAAGACTTTTTAAAAGTGCAATTACCTTATTAAATATGTGACTGACAGAATCAGTTGGTGTCCACCCTTGACCCGGTATTTTCTGTGGTCAATGGTCAATATTCCATGTAAATAGAAACTGTTAAATGTAGTTCCATATTATTTTTGTTACATTTGTTTCTCTACAAAGAATGTGTTTATTCTATTTCAATAAAGAGTCTATAAGGTGATGACTGTTCAGTACTTATTTATTCTATCACTGTGGAATGTGTGCAGCATTCCTGTCCACCAAGAGTTCCCTCCCCTCATTATATATTACAAGCCATCCTGATAGTAAACCCAGTTGTTCAGATCCACAGGTACAAAATCTCACATAATTTATCCAGAATTCCAAATATTTTACTTTCACATTGAAAAGTTAATATGCAAGTTTGAAAGCCTTCATATTGATTCTTTTCAGTAACTTTTATCCAGTGATCTCCTATGTATGTCATGCATAAACAATATTAATGGTTCACAATAGACCTGCTTTATTAGGCATATGTTACTGTTTATCAGTCTTTTTTTGAAGTGCAAAAAAGTTGTTGGTAAAAAAATGTAGGTGTACTTAAATTTACAAATTTTCGTGCTTTGATGAAGCTCAGAAAATTAAACCTTCCATGAAAAGTCTGCAAGTATGCATCAGGGACTGCTACAGTCCATGGTCGTCGATGTGTGTAGTGTAATGACACAAATCCTGATTAATAAGCTTGTACAGTAAAACTCTTCAATTAATAATGCACCACAGTGCACCTTAAAGTTCAGCTTGGTACAAAAGCATTATCAAAATTTGTTGAAGAATGGAATGTTCAGGAGACAATTCCTTGACAGAGGAGACCACCAGACAAACTACAATAAACAAAATTAACAAAGGGCCATAACTCTGTTTATAGCAGGTGCAACACCCGACTTTAGTGTGCAAAAGTCCACATACCAAGAGGTACTTCCATACAAAATTTCAGTCTTTTTAGGTGGGAGTATACATGAGATGCATCTTGGGCAAAGTGATCAACAAATAATAAAGGGCCATAACTCTTGTGTATTGTAGGGCTAAAAACCAGATTGATGTAGATGGGGATCAACCATGCCTCAAGTACTATCGGCGAGTACCATAGATTACAGGGTTATATTATCCTACCTCTTTAAAGCAAACTGGAACATACAACTCCTGTTCAACTCTGCAAAAGGTCCTCGCGCATGGTATTTTGATTTTGGTTAATTAACTGCAACACCTCTTCAACATACGAGAATTCATGTATTGAAAATACTCGGGTAATTTTTAAATAATAAGACAATAATAATGTTTTAAAATGAGATAACTCTTGTAGAAGTCAATATCTTCTGGATCACTTTAACAAATTATTACATGTATGGATTATCGGACAAGATATTTCAACATGTAAAAAAAAGTCCTACCAGATTTCCACTGATCTACATCAACTCGAGTTGACTACTTCTGACAGGACAACTGGTATTTCAGGAATCTATCATCTGGACCTTTTTCAAACTACGGTACATGAAACACTGGCTTTCCTTCACTATGCTGACAAATTTTGTATTTGCTAAGTTTTTAAAAGAATTTTACCACAGAAACAACTCAAAGGCTTAAAATAATAAAAAATACAAGAAGCAATATAATTTGACATTTTTATTGTTTTTTCTTAAATATATCACAGGTTAGATATAAAACTAGAACTCTCTTGTAACACAGTTACACTATAGCACACACATATAGCACTGCAACAACGGATTACCAGGTATGTGGGTCCAGTAGACCACTTACAACTGTCTGGAATGATAAATGCACCTGGCATTGTCTGTAGTATATCAATACCAACTTTGTACTAAAATGACTGGCAGTGACATTTCAAGTCAAATTTTACAGATTTACACAATTAGTTTTAAATTAATTTGCAGTGATTGTCTTGAGCTCACTTAATATGGATTTAGAGGAAATGCATTTCCAAGATAATTTCATAATTGTCATGATTATGCAATAACATTTTACAAAATTTCATTATCAATTTTCATGTTTTATTAAATCTCGTTTTTTTGGTAAAATCCTCATTCTCAAAATCAAATTTTACAATTATCTCGATCTTATCTCAACTCTCATTCTTGTTCCTATCTCATTTAGAAATCATTTTCAAGTATCGTGATGCTATTACTGAAGTGGGTATAAACATTTCAGTCTTCATAATCATAAAATCAACACTGATTAAAACATACAATGTATATCCATGTTTACCACTTTCAGCAAATAGCATCATAATCAACCAATTCAAAAAGACTTTATGTTATATAACTTCCGTATTTGATTCCACACTCCATCATTCTAGCCATGCTAACAATCAATAGTTACTGTGGAGATGACACACTTTGACCACCTGAAGTAGAGATATGGCTCTTCAACCGTCTGGACAAAACAAAATGTACTGTTAAATCAGCTATCTGGAGAAGAACAAAGAGATGCAACATGCATACTAATGGCCTTCAAACTTGGGCTTCCTCTTCTCCATAAAGGCCTTCATCGCCTCACGACGGTCCCTGGTAGGTATCACCTAGAAAAATACCAGGTACATGTTATACACTAATGTGGGTACTGAACAACATGGAAATTGGAGTTCAATGTTATTATTTTTCCAGTCTTACTCCTAAATGAGTTTGATAACCTGCAAGCTAGCATGATTAAAATTTGGCTTTAAAGACTTGCAGAATGATCAATATTTTCATTTTTTTTATTATAATTAGTAGTACTGTTACATGTATGTTGGCAAGCTAATCACAGATAAAATATGTTATGAAAGTTGAAAATTTTGCCAGGTGAACATGATACAAGGTTTTAAATATGCTTTTACACCCCATGTTTTTAGACTGATATCTGCTATTTTAAACGGCTACTTGTGTACATGTGCTTTTAACAAATGATAGTGCTAACCTAGCTGAAAATGAAATGTGATGTATGAGTAAAGTATTGACTTTGTAACTGTTTTATTATGCAATGTGTATGTCCTGTATGTTAGTCGGTTTTAATAGCTCCTTAGAGCTAATGTTGTATTGTTATACCATGTACCGACTCTAAATAAAACTTTTGACTTTGACTTTGACTTTGACAGTAAGCAGATAACAGAATATTTTACTTACTGTGTAAACAATGTTGTTATGTAACACAGACCAACGTCATATTATATGTAACACAGACCAACGTCTTGTTATGTAACATAGACCAACGTCATGTAATGTAACAGACCAACGTCGTGTTATATGTAACATAGACCAACGTCTTGTTATGTAACATAGACCAACGTCATGTAATGTAACAGACCAACGTCGTGTTATATGTAACATAGACAACGTCGTGTTATGTAACATAGACCGTCATGTAATGTAACAGACCAACGTTGTGTTATATGTAACACAGACCAACGTCGTGTTATATGTAACATAGACCAACGTCTTGTTATGTAACATAGACCAACGTCATGTAATGTAACAGACCAACGTCGTGTTATATGTAACATAGACAACGTCGTGTTATGTAACATAGACCGTCATGTAATGTAACAGACCAACGTTGTGTTATATGTAACACAGACCAACGTCGTGTTATATGTAACATAGACCAACGTCTTGTTATGTAACATAGACCAACGTCATGTAATGTAACAGACCAACGTCGTGTTATATGTAACATAGACAACGTCGTGTTATGTAACATAGACCGTCATGTAATGTAACAGACCAACGTTGTGTTATATGTAACACAGACCAACGTCGTGTTATATGTAACATAGACCAACGTCTTGTTATGTAACATAGACCAACGTCATATTATATGTAACATAGACCAACGTCTTGTTATGTAACATAGACCAATGTCATGTAATGTAACAGACCAACGTCATATTATATGTAACATAGACCAACGCCATGTAATGTAACAGACCAAGGTCGTGTTATATGTAACATAGACCAACGTTATGTTATGTAACAGACCAACGTCGTGTTATATGTAACACAGACCAACGTCGTGTTATATGTAACATAGACCAACGTCGTGTTATGTAACATAGACCAACGTCGTGTTATGTAACATAGACCAACGTCATGTAATGTAACAGACCAACGTCGTTTTATATGTAACATAGACCAGCGTCGTGTTATGTAACATAGACCAACGTTGTGTTATGTAACATAGACCAACGTCGTGTTATGTAACACAGACCAACGTCGTGTTATGTAACATAGACCAATGTCGTGTTATGTAACATAGACCAATGTCGTTTTATATGTAACATAGACCAACGTCGTGTAATGTAACATAGACCAATGTCGTGTTATGTAACATAGACCAACATCGTTTTATATGTAACATAGACCAACGTTGTGTAATGTAACATAGACCAATGTCGTGTTATGTAACATAGACCAACATCGTTTTGTTATGTAACATAGACCAACGTCGTGTTATGTAACCTAGACCAACGTCGTATTATGTAACATAGACCAATGTCGTGTTATGTAACATAGACCAACGTCGTGTTATGTAACATAGACCAACGTCATGTAATGTAACAGACCAACGTCATATTATATGTAACATAGACCAACGTCATGTAATGTAACATATACCAACGTCGTGTTATGTAACACAGACCAATGTCATGTTATGTAACATAGACCAACGTCGTGTTATGTAACATAGACCAACGTCATGTAATGTAACAGACCAACATCATATTATATGTAACACAGACCAATGTCGTGTTATGTAACCTAGACTAACGTCGTGTTATGTAACATAGACCAACGTCATGTAGAACATATTATCTTACAGAATAGCACTCACCTGTGAATAACCTGCCTCCTCAAAGTACAGAGCACTGTGTAGGTCGACCTGTAGAAAAACAAGAATAAACTTAACACAAAGATCAAAACTATTTAATACATATCATACACGAGTGAAGGTAACAATGACCTCATAGTTTATATACCCTGGTTATGTTGATAATGTTATGTTCAGATAATACTGAACAGAAAATTACAATAACACATTTTACAACTTATTGACAGCTGTCTGATGTTGATGATTGCTACAAGTACTTCTCACATCTGTGACAGACTAATACCACATTTTACACTGTGCAAGATTTCTCTGTCTCAACGTAGTTGGGATACTAGAGTGTGCCTACAAACCACAGACCAAAAAAAGGGATCAAAAGTTTGTAAAGTTACGTAAAAACAGATGGAAGTACTGTTAGAATGGTATTTTAGTCATGTGGAACAAAAACAATGAACAATTCACAACGTTAGTCCGCCACTTACCTCAGATCCTCTGCTAATTGCCATCTTGGCCATACGTAAGGCAACTGGTCCCTGTAATGGAAAAAGTGATTTTAACATTCAGCAAATTTGTTTCGGAGGCGGGGGAATTTTATATTACCAGTTACATTGTGAGGATAAACAGTGAAACATTATGTAAAATGCCCCAAACCTAGATATAATGACTCCAAATTTACATAACACCCCTATAATGCCTCCATCCATATCATTGTCTCATTTTCCACTTACTTAGCACCATCCCATAACAATTCTTTCATCATCACTGTCAGTATACTGCCACCCATACTTATAATGCCAACTTTGTCCTACAATCAGGGCAGTGTGACGAGGTTTTTCTAATCCAATGATATACAATTTACCTGCATTTTACCTGTTTACAGTATTCCCTATCTGTGCTGTATACAGTATTCCCTACCTGTTTACAGTATACCCTACCTGTATACAGTATACCCTACCTGTTTACAGTATTCCCTACCTGTTTACAGTATACCCTACCTGTTTATAGTATTCCCTGCCTGTATACAGTATTCCCTACCTGTATACAGTATTCCCTACCTGTTTACAGTATACCCTACCTGTATACAGTATACCCTACCTGTTTACAGTATTCCCTACCTGTTTACAGTATACCCTACCGGTATACAGTATACCCTACCTGTTTACAGTATACCCTACCTGTTTACAGTATTCCCTACCTGTTTACAGTATACCCTACCTGTATACAGTATTCCCTACCTGTTTACAGTATACCCTACCTGTTTATAATATTCCCTACCTGTATATAGTATTCCCTGCCTGTATACAGTATACCCTACCTGTATACAGTATACCCTACCTGTTTACAGTATTCCCTACCTGTATACAGTATTCCCTACCCGTTTACAGTATACCCTATCTGTTTACAGTATACCCTACCTGTTTATAGTATTCCCTACCTGTATACAGTATTCCCTACCTGTTTACAGTATCCCCTTCCTGTATACAGTATACCCTACCTGTATACAGTATTCCCTACTCGTATACTGTATTCCCTACCTGTATACAGTATTCCCTACCCGTTTACAGTATACCCTATCTGTTTACAGTATACCCTACCTGTTTACAGTATACCGTACCTGTTTACAGTACTCCCTACCTGTATACAGTATTCCCTACCTGGTTACAGTATCCCCTACCTGTATACAGTATTCCCTACCTGGTTACAGTATCCCCTACCTGTATACAGTATTCCCTACCTGTTTACAGTATTCCCTACCTGTAAACAGTATACCCTATCTGTTTACAGTATTCCCTACCTGTTTACAGTATTCCCTACCTGTAAACAGTATTCCCTACCTGTATACAGTATTCCCTACCTGTTTACAGTATACCCTACCTGTTTATAGTATACCCTACCTGTTTACAGTATTCCCTACCTGTAAACAGTATACCCTATCTGTTTACAGTATTCCCTACCTGTTTACAGTATTCCCTCCCTGTAAACAGTATTCCCTACCTGTATACAGTATTCCCTACTTGTATACAGTATTCCCTACCTGTATACAGTATTCCTACCTGTATACAGTATTCCCTACCTATTTACAGTATACCCTACTTGTTTACAGTATACCCTACCTGTATACAGTATTCCCTACCTGTTTACAGTATACCCTACCTGTTTACAGTATACCCTACCTGTTTATAGTATTCCCTACCTGTATATAGTATTCCCTGTCTGTATACAGTATTCCCTACCTGTATACAGTATTCCCTACCTGTTTACAGTATTCCCTACCTGTATACAGTATTCCCTACCTATTTACAGTATACCCTACTTGTTTACAGTATACCCTACCTGTATACAGTATTCCCTACCTGTATACAGTATTCCCTACCTGTTTACAGTATTCCCTACCTGTATACAGTATGCCCTACCTGTTTACAGTATACCCTACTTGTTTACAGTATTCCCTACCTGTATACAGTATTCCCTACCTGTATACAGTATTCCCTACCTGTTTACAGTATTCCCTACCTGTATACAGTATTCCCTACCTGTTTACAGTATTCCCTACTTGTTTACAGTATTCCCTACCTGTATACAGTATTCCCTATCTGTATACAGTATTCCCTACCTGTATACAGTATGCCCTACCTGTTTACAGTATTCCCTTCCTGTATACAGTATTCCCTACCTGTTTACAGTATTCCCTACCTGTATACAGTATTCCCTACCTGTTTACAGTGTACTCTACCTGTTTATAGTATTCCCTACCTGTATATAGTATTCCCTACCTGTATACAGTATTCCCTACCTGTATACAGTATCCCCTACCTGGATACAGTATTCCCTACCCGTTTACAGTGTACTCTACCTGTTTACAGTATCCCCTACCGGTATACAGTATTCCCTACTTGTATACTGTATTCCCTACCTGTATGCAGTATACCTTACCTGTATACGAGTATACTGTTTACAGTATTCCCTTCCTGTTTACAGTATTCCCTACCTGTAAACAGTATACCCTATCTGTTTACAGTATTCCCTACCTGTAAACAGTATTCCCTACCTGTATACAGTATGCCCTACCTGTTTACAGTATACCCTACCGGTATACAGTATTCCCTACCTGTATACAGTATTCCCTACCTGTTTACAGTATTCCCTACCTGTATACAGTATACTCTACCTGTATACAATATTCCCTACCTGTATACAGTATACCTTACCTGTATACAGTATTCCCTACTTGTATACTGTATTCCCTACTTGTATACTGTATTCCCTACCTGTTTACAGTATTCCCTACCTGTATACAGTATTCCCTACTTGTATACTGTATTCCCTACCTGTTTACAGTATTCCCTACCTGTATACAGTATTCCCTACCTGTATACAGTATACCTTACCTGTATACAGTATTCCCTACCTGTTTACAGTATTCCCTACCTGTATACAGTATTCCCTACCTGTATACAGTATTCCCTACCTGTTTACAGTATTCCCTACCTGTTTACAGTATACCCTACCTGTTTACAGTATTCCCTACTTGTATACTGTATTCCCTACCTGTATACTGTATTCCCTACCTGTTTACAGTATTCCCTTCCTGTATACAGTATCCCCTACCTGTATACAGTATTCCCTACCTGTATACAGTATTCCCTACCTGTTTACAGTATTCCCTACCTGTATATAGTATTCCCTACCTGTTTACAGTATTCCCTACCTGTATACAGTATTCCCTACCTGTTTACAGTATACCCTACCTGTATACAGTATTCCCTACCTGTATACAGTATTCCCTACCTGTATACAGTATTCCCTACCTGTATACAGTATTCCCTACCTGTATACAGTATTCCCTACCTGTATACAGTATACCCTACCTGTATACAGTATTCCCTACCTGTATACAGTATACCCTACCTGTATACAGTATTCCCTACCTGTATACAGTATTCCCTACCTGTATACAGTATACCTTACCTGTATACAGTATTCCCTACCTGTATACAGTATACCCTACCTGTATACAGTATTCCCTACCTGTATACAGTATTCCCTACCTGTATACAGTATACCTTACCTGTATACAGTATTCCTTACCTGTATACTGTATTCCCTACCTGTATACAGTATACCCTACCTGTTTACAGTATACCCTACCTGTTTACAGTATACCCTACCTGTATACAGTATTCCCTACCTGTTTACAGTATTCTCTACCTGTATACAGTGTACTCTACCTGTATACAATATTCCCTACCTGTATACAGTATTCCCTACCTGTATACAGTATACCTTACCTGTGGTAATATTTCCTGAGCAAGTTTAAGTGCCCTCAGATATCCAGCATCACCATTCTCATTCTGTTCCACACAGTGGTTCACCATTCCGATTCTCTCAGCCTCCCTGCCCTCCACTACACGAGCCGTGTACATGAGTTCGCGTGCCACGGCAGGATTGATGATCCTAGGCAGCCTCTGGGTACCACCTGTTTAGCGATTTAGGTTTGCTTTATTATTAGGACTGTGGTATGAACCTTATATTTTAGTTCAAAAACAAACTTTTAGTATAGTGTATAAATGGACAATTTTATTGAGAAACCAGTATACAGAGTGATACAATACTGCAAATATATACTAATGATACTGGCAGTCTATATATCAACACAACTTAAGATCACAAAATATTGAAAGATCAAATTGAGCTGAATAAAACCTCAGGGGAGGTGGTAGGCACCTGTATTTAACTTGGGTGTCATGAGTGACAGGTAGTTAAATCTTCAATATAGGTCTGTCTGCCATTCCTTACAATCAACCATTTTTCTATTATATTTGATAGGTAGGTTGGCCTCTAAAAATGTTCCTCCATTCTCTATACCTGGTAATACAATCTATTCTAGAACACTCCTAAAGTAGTTTTCCCTGTAAGAAGTTTCTTTTTCTAAATTCTTCTGATGAAAATAATCATGACATTAAGTTACCTCCCCCTGGAATGATAGCGAGTCTTGTCTCCACCAGGCCCATCTTGGCTGTAGTAGCTGTAAAGTATAAAATACAGGCATTCACCGTCAAATTTTATCTATGACAATTCTTTACCCATATCAATATAACTTCTACAAAGTATTTACATATTTCTTCATAAAATTCAATTGGACAGATGCATAAAATTTGCTCGAATCACAGTCATAAAATCCAAATTGCTATGAGAAGCATGCATCTCAAAATAAAGTAACTGTGACAGAATTGCCATAACCAGTTTGATTAAACTCTTGTCCAGGCCTTAACTCATTCACCCCTGAAGACACATTTGAACTCTTCCAATTCAAAGGTTGGAATAGTCCATTATGAAATTTTAGGGGTGAATGAGTTAAGTAATGGAAATACATTGTAGCCACAGTGTGTCGAGAGATCATATTAAAGTTAATACTATTTGATTTATTTGAATTTTCCCCCACAATTATTTGATTTTTTTTTCAAGGCCTGTTATGAAAGTGAGCATATCTTCATAAGTGCCGTTATGAAAGAGAAATATTTAAAATTTTACATAATAAATAAATCTTAAATGTGATATCAGATGGAATCACACAATAATCATCACTGAATGATGACCTAAATTACCAAGTAGACATTTTCTGATTGAATCAAGATTCTTTCGGTCACAAACCCCTCAGCAGGCTTTTTTTGATCAGCATGAAAGAGGAAATGAACAACTATGATATGCTATCAAATACATTTTCCCCCTGTCTGTCTATAGAAGAATAGGACCGACCAAATTTTTAAATGTCAGCATACGAAACATGCTGAAAGCACCGACATAGAGATGATTTATGGGATACGTACAAGCGACCCGGAGATCACAGGCGAGGGACACCTCAGTCCCACCACCCAGGGCCACCCCATCAATGGCTGCGATGGTTGGCATTGGAAGGTTGTCCATGTCATTGACCGAGGCTCGCAGACCAGCTACAAAGGGTCCAGTCTCTGCATCAGTCATCTGGGCACGTTCCTTCAGGTCGGCACCTGTACACAAAATTAAAAACTTCTGTCATTGAAGTGTAACATGCTAACCTATACAAAACACAATGTATAGAGTTTAACAGTACATCACATACTTATCTTATTAGCTAACCTGTGAAACATTTTACAGTCAAAGTATGGTTATGAGGGATATAGCATGTTTCTGGTTCCCCGCGACCAGGTGTGTTGTATTTTTTCAAGGCGAAGCTTCCCATCCTCTGAACTAAGCCACGCCCATCCTCTGAACTAATTCACTGGGTCTTAGTTCTATCAACTAACGCACCCTTTTTGTGAGCTAATTCCCTAATGTGGGGAATTAAGGGAAATAGCCAATTCTATGATATTACTTTCATATAGTGTAAAATTAGTAGAGGTATAATATATGGAACAAACCTGCACAGAACACACCCGGGACTAAACTTCGGAGAATTACAACCCGGATACTCTTGTCGAACTTTACCTTCTTCATACATTCTGTGAACTGTGAAATAAAAGCAAAGGTCAATGGGTGTCACATTGGATGGTTCAGCCGCCACTTTGAACTTCAATATATAATACAGAGTGTCAACGTAAACTAGTGTCATGTATCATGGTAAACAAGTACAATTATACGAGATGAGATATTTTTGTATTGCCTCTAAGTTTTGTGTGTTGTCTTTTTTTGACAGAAAGAATGCTAAATTACATAACTGAACATATACCTGAAACAAGAATTTCCTTCCAAGCGCATTTTTCCTTTCTGGTCTGTTCATAGAAAAAACAGCAATACCTGAAAAGATATAGAAATCAGCAGATCTGTAATAGCTGTGATTAGGTGATAACAGATATTACAGACAGTTATCTGTAAACATCCATCAACAGTACTAGTACCCACACCCCTGTCATTTTCGGATTTTCCCTCAGTATCCTCCTTCTGGATATACAACATACAACTCAATTCCTGTAGTGTAAATGTCTGTGAAATTAATCTATTATTTAATTGCCCCTCAACACATAGATTTTCAGCTTTGTATGTTCAATATGAAGAACATAGTCATGATCATGAAGAATTGACAAGACTGAGAAACATCAGGCAAATGAAAGGGCAAGAAAAAAGTTCTTTTGTCAGCATAAACAGGTTTATCATCGTAAACTCAGACAGCTGCATTTATAATTCTTTATAATAAACAAACATATATACATATGCTTCTAACTTATAAAAATACTTTTTATGTGTTAATATCGATGGGTTTTGCCTCATAATTTTTGCAATTTAAGACCTGCTTTCAGAATCTAAAAGACAAAATTTTCATATAGGATGTAACTTCACTTTCCTACACAAACATTCAAATTTTAGATTTCCTTTGGTTGAAAATTGCTACATCTAATGTTGGATTTTATAAACAACTTTTCGTTGATCATTTTTTTGGTGCAGTAATGTATAGTGGCTTCTGAAAGAGAAATTTATTGTTTTTAGAAAAAATGCAACGTTTAAAAGCAGAACAGAGGAATCTCAGAAATAAGGGACAATCTTGGAAAGTCTGAGACTGATCTGAAAACATTCTTGAACAGATCATTTTAACCCATCAATAGTTACTATTATTTTAATTGGAGCGTGACCATATTTAGTGTACCAGGATTTTAAGTGGAAAAAATATATGGATCGCTTATCTCCCCTTGTATATATGTATTTTTGTGTCAAACCACAGGGGTACATTCGCGTATCCGATTGAACCTGTAAAGAAAACGACAGGCACAGATCTGGACCGAGGCTGACCTCAGGAAAATTTGGCACATGTAGATTGAGGGGTCCAGACGTACCTGACCGAAACTAAAATGCTGACTATTGCCAGTTTGCGTTATTTCTTTCTAAAACAATGTCAAGTCACATGCAGTTTTTAAGATACATTATGTTATTCAGTGGACGGATGAAAGAAGGTCATTAATTAATATTCTTGATACACTGTTTTCTCTGTGCCTTTTTAGCATTGCAGGTACTAGCCTCTTCTGTCAATACACCTTATAGTGACAGACGAGGCTAGTACCTGTGGTCGACGATCGCAATTAACCAGTGACCAGGTCGGGGAAAACCACTTACTTGCATATAAAACGCAAACTCGCCTATTAAACGCCCATAGGGGTATGAATTTGTTACTAAAAATAGCCAAAATCACTTTAATGTTAACTTTTTTAAATTGTTTGTCCAAGTCGCATTTATTCAGTCATGAAACATAATACAAATGCAAAAATAAACTTTATTTGCATGTGGGAAAGTATCAAAAATAGATGCAGATTGCAATAATTCCGGTAAAGTTACAAGCCAACACTTTTACTTTCAGCAAACATATTTTAGCAAAATATTACTTACCTTGTTGTAAATTAATGTGATTTTTAATAATATCGGTAAAATGTTCGTGTCTATTTAGGTTATTACGTCCCAGATTTCGGTAACTCTAAATCTGATCACCTTCATTTACTTAAATAGAAGTACAAACGCACATCTCGTTCAGGCGAATACAAGTGCATTCCTGTTAGGCTAGTTGTCAAGTCCATGAATGCCGGTCCGAAGTTCCACCCCCTCGCCTATGCACTTTACACTACAGTGTTTACACTAATCATTACCTGTGTCTTCACCATCTAAATATTTGAGTTGGAATTCATCGAACTCGTCTATGTTTGTAGATGAATTTCGCTGGAATGCTGTAGTGCACCTTCCAGCAGTAAACCCCAAAGTCCTCCTGAGAAGGCCGAAACGGGAACAAACAGTTACGGCTGCCATTGCTGGTGAGCTGAGATCTGAGTCAGACAGACGCTTGTTACCGCGTGACTTTTTTTTCCGGCTGTGCTAAGTAATTCAAGTGGTTAATGAAAGATTTTTAAATATGAAATCTTCCATTGCAATCGCGACAGAATTGCCATTGTTTTAATTAAACCAGAGACCAGAAACTGTTGATTAAACATGTTACATCTAAAGCATGGTAAATAATTTACATACGCTATGTGTATGTAACGTTACACCTCAAACTCAAATAAATTCCATTGGTCACCACGTGCACGTCTCATCTTTTTCTACGAAAGAGAAATACTTCCTCTTAAACTTTCTGTTTACTCATACTTTAAGTGAACAGTGCATACTTATACATGCTTGTCATAGTTAAATAGTGAGATATATAATTTCAGTGGTTATAAATGTATTAGTTAAAGCCTTTTACTATTGCTATCATCACGGACAATAGAGATTTTCTTCTTAATCCCGACTGTGCATTAAATTATGAATCAAATTAAAATGACTGAGAAATCCTACACCGGCAGACTTTTTTTATACCAGCTAGCTTCGCCATTCTTTCTCAAGTCATCCTGATTTGGCATAACTATAGTCATTTCAACTGATCACAGAAACCGTCAATCTCCTTAGTTAAACCACAGTCGCTTGTTGTATATGGTATTTCTTACACCTTGAATTAACATAAAAATCCACGATGTTGTATAGTCCGAAGTAATTTCCTTCTATACGTGGATTTTGAATTTTAATTCAAGGTGTTTGAAATACCAGATACGTACAGCGCCTATTCCGTCAATGCGTATTGCAGAGTTATATTCTCTTGTGAGCAGGTATTGATTGTTACGTCATTGGTTTGTGTGAGAAGATTACGTCGTTTTCTCACAAATTGATGACGTTACTCTCACAAACAAATGAAGCTACAAGCAATACCTGCTCACGAGAGCAGATAACTCTGCAATACGCAAAGACGGAATATATGGTTAAAACTAATGTTTAATAAACATACATACAGGCAAACATTTGCTCAGTTTTTTTACCGTATTTTTTTTTCTGAAAGCTTATTTACATATTATCTGTGAACAATTTAACGTTTTCTAGTGATATTGACATTCTGGCTACGACATCCTCCCGAATTCAGCCGTCAAATTATCGTTTTCCGCCTGCTAGAGTTAAACCTTTGTCGTCAGTTGGATTTGAGGAATTACATATATAACAACGGTGATATCATTATCATTATCATCCACACTGACATTCCACAATACCAAGCAATGGTCGATCGCGAGAGTTCTCTTTCCAACTACAATGGATAAATTCTTTTACTGACTTTTCATTCTTTAGCCGCCTCCACTGACATGTCACTATATATATAGTCTTTTTTTAACGTTGGATATTGCAGCGGTTGTTGTATTCCTCCGGTATCTGTATTAATGCCAAACTTTACACATATAAAGAAATCACACACTATTCTATTTTTCGAAAAAAATAAAAGAATAACCATTTATTTTGCACAAAACGAGATTGTCTTTTAAAAGACTCTATAATTAAAGAATGACCCATATTTTGTATATTATACATCGTTATGTCTAAAAAGTTGAACTGTTGGTTTTATTTGTAATTCCGATCGCGACGTTACAGAATGATTGGACGACATTTTATTATATTTTCATACTGGTATGAATGCAAATCGGTTACACACCTATTCCATGAAGCCCGCTAGTGTTTCATGGTAAGTCTGTTAAACCTTATATTTACATTGTAAATTTTGTTATCATTAACCTTAATACTGATTTCGATATTGAATAAAGGTGTCTGTGAAGTCAGTGCAAACGAGGTTCCTGGAACAGCCTAAGATCGCCAGAATGTTTGCTTCTAACGACTGACTCATGTTGTTCGAGGAGGGAGGAGAATATTCAAAACGACGCTTATCACATTCTACACAGTTTCTTCTGTTACTGATTATACAGGAACTTGCAGTGGAAATGTAAAATTTGAAAATATGGTGTGTTTATACATGCTAAAAAATGTGATCTTGACCTTCTTAAAATGTTTACCTCTTGTGGAGACGTTTTATCTTTTAATTTTGACCTGGGTAATATTGAATTGTGTCAATATATGCTCCCAACGGAATGTAGTGGTTCAATTTCTAATGATGACCTTGACTAATGAAATATAGAAATTAATATGACATTGGCTTCATTAAAATAGACTGATTTACCTTTCTGTGACGTCAATTCAAATGAAACAGCAGTTTAACCTTTTCTGTTTTTCACCCGAAGTTCATTGAAATGCACATTTAAATGATTATTTCTATGGCCTTGACCTCATTATAAAAGAGTGGATTTATATTTCATATCTTTTATTTCGATTTTGACCCCAACAGAATATGGTGCTTTCATATCAAAATTTGACCTTGCCCTCCATCAAATATGGAAGTTACACTTTTAGTACAACATCGACCTCCGTGAATTCCTGTGGCTTTAACACTTATAACCTTGACTTCAGAGTTTGAAGACAATTGACACCATCAATTTGTCATCAAAGAATATTCACTTGGTGATACAGATCACAAGGTCCCCATATAGAAAAGAACACTGACCTTTAACCTCAGATTGTGACCTTGATGTTCGGATGAGATCCACATGGTGATACACAGATGATACCACTTTTCACAAGCAACTGCTGCATAATCTTAATTTATGTTCTCAGTTATTTCTTTCGAACAGAATTATGTGGCCTTGCTCCTCTATTTTCATTTGGATATTCCATGTTATGAAATACTGTTCTACAAGAGAACATTTTAAACTTCTTGTCCGATTCTTAACTGGAACTCCTAAAAGGACGTCAGCGCGCTATATCACTGCTACCGGGGATGATTAGATAATATTAAAGGGAACATCAACATTGTATCACACAATCACATTGCTTTAGTAGAAGGGAACAGCTCTATAGATTTGTATTGCCGAGACAATACTGTTGACAGAGCACACGTTTAGCATCCATCCATCACTGGCAATGATCCCATCTAAATATTATGTGTGTATGTACCATAACACTAACATGGTAAACGTTTTTGAAAAGATTTCATGTCAGTTGTACTTAAACAAACTGTTGAGAAAATATTTTAAAAAATATCAAAGTACTGAAAGTACTCCAGACACATGCGCGTTCTTGATGTTGCAATATTTCCATGGTTATATAACATTTTAGGAAAACAGAACACAATAGAGTCAGTTGAGATGCAGAATAAACACCATTTAAAGAGGTATGGCGGAAAACTGCCCGTATTTCCCTAAGTCGGCATTTATGAAAACGGGACGAATAATTAAGGAGTAAAACATTTCGGGTAGCAAAAATGCATACAAAAGATACAAAACCAATTGAATATGAATTTTTAAACTGCTGAGAAATTAGGTATTGCTAATATGATACTGCAAATATAGCCATATACACTATATCTATGAAAGTGATGGGGTTTCCCGGACTTAAAAAAATACTTTCAACACTTTCCCATCCGAGGACCAACTTTTGAATAAACTTTTTGTGACCGTGATGTAATTTGCAAAAACAAATCGTATTACGGAAAAGTGGTCCTCCTTTGGGAAAGTGCTCAAAATAATGAAAAACAGGGGTGATCAAGTTTCTCTAAACTGCGACCGGTGTTTCTCGGGTTAAATAAGTTTGTAATTGCCAATATCTATATGTTCTATGTAGCCGAATGTGTAACGCAGTTTACTTGCGACTAGAAAATAAACGGTGCAGGTTCGAATCCTCCTTCAGTTNTCACACATGCACATGGACAGACACACACATAAGAGAATAATAATAGTACACGCATCATACCATAAAGTACTATAAACACAACACAATGATATAATAGGTACTATTACAGTCATTATACGGTGATAATTATGATGATAGACAGTATAACACTAATCATATATTACATCACACATTGATATAATAGACATATTTACACTCGCGCGGATGCGCGCGCTAGCGTAACATAGCTTTGGGGAAATAGGCATAGCAACCCGCCATATCTCTTTGTTGAAACTGATGTGAACGGATATCTATTTTTATTTAATGTCTGTGTTGGTAATTGTCTGAAATTGCAATATCTCTTTAGTGTCTATTGGTAGAGGGTGAAACATATATTTCATATAGACCAGCAGCAGTGCATGTGTCACAAATGTCTAGGTCAACTAGGATTTGCCATGTCATATATCAGTATACACTTCTTCGTATGATTATGTCAAGGGTAACAGTGTGAAAAGAATAATTATTTGTACTACTTATTAGCTATAGTGTAATTGCTGTATTCTCTATGTGGAGCATAGATTCAATCAATGCTCTGATGATACAAAGTTCAACAGGATACATGGTAATTTCACTGATTGGTGTATTCAGTCAGCCTTACCAGGATACTTTATTTCAGGTATATGGCAAAGTATTGCAAGGCAATCCATAGTTTCCCACCGTTAACAGTTTCTATATTCAACAAACAGTACACTTATGTCAGGGAGCATAGGTCACAGTGTGGTAATAGTGACCTAATTCTTACACTTTGAACTCTATCATCACAAGATGTCCTTGTACACCAAAACTGATTACTCAAGGTGAAAAAGTTTCGAAGATATGCCCCGTACAAACTTTTTAAAAAGGGAAGGTCAAAAGTCAAGTCATAGGTCACATTGACCTAATTCTTGCACTCTGCACTCCACCATCCCAAGATGTCCCTGTACACAAAAGCTGGATACTCCAGGTGAAATAGTATAGAACAAACTTTTCCAAAAATAACTTCAAAGCATAGGTCACAGTGAGGTAATAGTGACCTTATATATATACCTTAGATATATCCCGGACAAACTTCTCGGTTGGAAAGACGGATGGACGGACGGGCGGAGTGCAAACCTACATTTCTTTCTTCAAATAGGTGGCAATTTTCAACTTTAACATTTTTGATTCCAGGACATACCAATATGAAGCTCGATACCCATAGAGGGGGCCATGAACTGCAAAATGCAACAGCCAATAAGGAAAGTGACTAGGTGAGGAGAATATGTGAGGGAGCTATGGCCTCAAGTAGAAGGGAAGTCACTCTAAAGGAAAATTTAGAATTTCTGATGTGAGATCGTGTATCACGAATGTATCTTAAAATTAATATGTGATAACACGGCTTTGTTTAACGCTGTTGAATCCATATAAGGCCACAACTGCACAGCATGTATACGATGTCTGGCAATCATGCAGTCAATTTCATGATCAAATCTTTATTGAAGATAATCATATCTTCAGTTTCAATCCAGTTGTTGTCGATAACTGCAGCCTCTATGGATTTATTCACATCTTTCAATTCTTCTTGTGCTGCCTGAAATACAAAAAAGAATTCATCATTTAATTCATCATTTAATTTTTTGTTTTTTTTCATTGTGACAAAGTTTATTATTTGATTTGTCATGCTTTTTCCATGTTCAACACTTTTTAATATCTTTGATGAATAGACGTGGATATGGGGGGGGGGGGGGGGGGGTGGGGGGGGGGGGGGTGGGGGGGGGGGGGTGGGGGGGGGGGGGTGCTAAGGAAATCCGCCACCTTGGATCCAAGATGGCTGGCGCCTTAGCAACCCCCTTAACCTACGGCCCCAGATCTACGTCACTTCATCATGTGGGTTTTTTTGCGTGTGACGTCATCAATTTTATTGTTACCGACTGAATTATCTCCCCCTGTTTCCAATAGGTGTGTATATTGAGTGTGACGTCATTTTGACGGGATTAACTCCCCTTGTTTCTGACTTTTTACCTTCTGATTTCAGGTATTGCTTCCATGGACGGACTCTCTCTCTGCGATGCTTGACGGACCTGCAAACCCTTGCATGAGGAGAAAAAATGCATACAAAAATGAAAATCGCTATTACTTGTACATTGTTTTCAATAGTTGTATGTACTGCGTGTGACGTCACCAATTTTGCATCTACCGACGGAATTAGCTGCCCTTGTTTCTAACTTTTACCTTCTGATTTCAGGTATTCTCTCTCTCGTCGGCACTGTTTCGGGTGTTTTTTTCTCTCTCTTTTCTTTTCTTTTTTGCCCATTTTCTGCTCTTTTAATCATATATTTTCATTTTCATTGATAATCTTATGCATAAAACATATTTACAAACAATAAATAGTTACAACATGCGTTATTTACAATATGAAATTCACGGCATATTTACATGCACAGTGTTTTCGAGTGTGGTATCAAATTGAGATGAACTTTTTTTTCGTGTAGGAAGTGAGTGTGTCGGTGCCGTAGCAGGTGGTGTTGCGTCCTTGTTTGAACTAAAAATAATAGTTAACACGTAGACAATTCACAATGATACATTAGCTGACGGTATAATAAAAGTGTGAGGTAAGTGATTCTATTTGGACAATATACTTACAGCGTGTAATTCTGAATACTGGCCGCTTGCACGTCGTTGTCTATGCATTCTTTGGCGATGTTGTTTCCTAATGCGCTCCTTGTCGTTTGATATGTTTTGTCGTTCCTTCCTGTACATGTCTGCTTACCGTTGTATTAATTGGTGTTGGCGGAGGAAGTCGGATAGACTGCATGTTGTCAGAATCGTACGGGAAGCTTTAGGTGACGTCACGGTCGTCGAATGTGACAACACTATCATCGACCGATATCCGCTCTTAACTCAGGCTTCTATGTAAAATCAAAAGAATATTGGAAGACGGAGGGTCAATTTCAGTTTTGAGGGGTCAATGCCCCCCTGCATAATTATCCCTGGGAAGCATAAACGAAAATAGCTAAAAAAAATCCACGAAAACGAAAGTTTAGATATTTCTATTACATGTAAAAGTATTCATCTTTTTTTGTAAGACATCTATCATGTCTTGTAAAGGGTTGTTTCAAGGATTCCATACTGTAAATACACTGGTCATAGCCGAAGATAACTCCTTGCAAGCTGTTTGATCAGGAACATCGGCTGTATTCGGCAGTTTCTAACTTCAGATGCATGCAAGATTTTGGTCCGAGTTCGGTAACAAACTCCGCCCACCTCTTGCCTGATTGGCTCGGCGGAAACACCCGAGTGTAGGTGTGTTTTAATTCCCAGACTAACACACAGGACTAAAACACAGTCAGGCAAAAGTGGGGATACATTCGATTTAACCAATTACTTTTATATAGAGTAAATAAAGTAGAGGTATAATAACATCATCTATCACATAGACTTTATTTTTCGTATACCGTTTTCTGCCATGACTGGATAAAAAATATCACACATATTCTTGGCAATCATCCTCAATCTAAATCATACATATTTACATCAAAGATTATGTATACTGTAAATACGGTAACACGTGTTACAAAAGCGGCACAGAATAATCCAAATCTGACTGATTGGGTTAGTCTAATATTACATCTGAGGGCGATAAGGGTTTATGATAACTCACAAATATGGTTCAACCCTAGAAATAGACCGACTTCATTCATATCAACTAAATAAACTAAAGTAAACTTTACCCCACTCCCCAAGGGAGAATGGATAGCTCGGGGGTCCTCAAATTTACATGTTAAATAAAGCCCCTGATGATCTTTCTTTCCATGCAGAGAAAATGACTGTAGTACCTCAGAGTGTGGAGAAGAAGATTTTTGAAATGTTGGTTAATTTTCCATTTGGGGCCCCACCCTGGCCCCAGGGGTCGGGGTAGGAATCCCCATTTTACAATTTTGTATTCTCATCTACCAAGGATGATTTGACCAAGTTTGAAAAAATTCCATCAGCTGGTTCACGAGAAGTTGAAAATGTAAAAAGTTTGCGCACGACGGACGGAAAGCGATCAGAATAGGTCACCTGAGCTTTGCTCAAGTGACCTAAAAATCTTGACCTTTGACCTCATCCAGCCAGCTTAGCTGCTTGCTGTTTGCTCAAGTTATCAAAGCATGGTTAGCTTTACACTTTTTTCTTGTGTTAATTTATTGGTCCTGTCGATCTGTTCTGTGCTTACAACAGACTCTACTGAAATGGATAGAATGTCTTGAGATCTTTTTTTTTAATTCTGATAGAAAGAAGTCATATTCAAATGGTCAGAAGTAAAATTTCAGGCTTAACACAAAACGTTAGTGACCCAAACAGTGCGACGGAAACTTTGTACTGGTTGGAACACTACAGTAAGAAACCATCCGCTTCGGGGAAGAGTGTAGAATGCACAATTTCAGCAAGCAGAGCTTCGTTAGCAAGTTACTCAGAATATTTCTTATTAATTTTATACATTCAAAATACATAAATTGTTGTATTGTTTGCATACATCTGACTATTTCAGAAAGTATCAAATGAATGCTTTCTCGGTCTATTTGTTGCCTAACCACAAAATGGCGTCACTACGGTATGAATGAAAATGCTAGGGGTCGCTGTCGAAAACATTTGCATATGAATGAAAAGTAAATGAATGAGATCCATATAAGGAGATAGAGACCATATAAGGTCATATATGGAGCTAGTGTCAAATGTCGTTTTCACTTAAGAAAACTTCCAAGGAATGCATGATCCCCTAGACACCTGCGTTACCTAACACATGTGTCAAAAATGTAAAACCAACACCAGCACACAATATTAACAAACTAGTACATATTTAGTTCTTAAATTTTAATATCCAACCAAAATGTGTATGTAAATTAAGAACAAAATAATGAGGAAAAAACCCCAAATATTATATACACTATATCACAAACAGCTGTAAAAATTATGCACAAATATAATTTCAGATCAGTATATAAATATAACTTGATTATACCAGTTTGAGACTTATCAGGTCTTCTCCGAGAAAATTCTGATGACCAACTTTTCAACCACTAATTACATCAAGTTATAACCTTAAATAAAGAGCATATTGTATTAGAAATTTAAGCTTTCCAATGACAATACATGTACTTAAGGAATTGTCTCAATTTAATCACGGACTGATCTTGTTTACTTAGTACACACAAATGAAAAGTAAAATATCAAGTTAGAATTTTGAAACTGATTTCAGTATTTTCTCATTTATACATCTCAAGGTCAATGTAACCTGTCCCTCTTTGTGTTGATTTTGATTTTAAAAGTTCATAAAATAAACATACAAAAGGTTGGGCAATGGACATGCCTTCATCAACCCTTTCTTACCTGGTATGAGAAATATATATAAATACATCAATTTAATTTTACAAACATGTTGTGTTTTTTTGCCAATATTGAAAGAACAAACAATTTTTATATCATAGTGGTACATACAAATGTAAAAGTAAAACATCACAAAGAACGTACACTTTTAAACCATTTCAGTCCCTCTCTATGTGTCGCACACCGACTTGACATTACTGGTCCCTCTTTACATCATTCACCAACATTTGATGTTGGCAAGTTCAAACATCCTCTAAGATCACAAGACATCAACTTTTTAAATTTTAGATATTGAAAACAAAAACAAATTATGGGCATTTGTATTTTTTCAGAGTACATTTTAGGCCAATTGTGTGATGGTATTGTCGTATTGATGAACAAAATATGTATCAATTTAAGCCTAAATATTGTAAACTAACTACAGTGCTTTTCTCAAAGATTTCAATCCATTTATATTGAAACCTTTCAAAACCTCTGAAAGGTGTCAGTATTCATGAAATATGATCAACAATACACTAGCAGTAATTTAGGAGTCTCTAATGGACACTAATATTGACGGCTTGAATCATGTGACCGAAATGGCTATTTGAGTTTTAATATCCATCTTATTGCATTACATTTCAGGCTTTTCTGTGACGGTGATGAAATTTCAAGCTTTTCTATGACAATGTTGATGTTTCAAGCTTTTCTACGACAGTGATGATGCCTTTGATACAGGTAATGAATAAATGTACTATATGAACTTAGATAGCAGTATAAAAGCATTATCAAATTCTTCCTCTTTAAACCAAAAAATGGATCTTATTTTTGTTACCAAAATAAATTCATGATTTAAAAAAACAAACTTTTCTTAAGTAACACAGCATGCGTTAAATGAATCTTCTGGATATTCAAATTCCAAATATGTACAAGAGGCCTCTGTTTAACATTTGAGATTAGAAATACATGTACAATCATTCAAAGTATATCAGATCTATCTCCAGGAGGTAATATCAATTCAAAATGCAGACTCTGTTGCAGAGTATGTCACATAAATGAATAGAAAAAGGAATTTTTTTTTTTTTTTTTTTTTTTTTTTTATAAAACTGGATTTTAATGTTAGGGATTTCAATCTTAAATCATTGAAAGAGCAAAAGTACTAAGTTGTTTTCCCTTCATTTAGCCATTCACTATGTTAAGGCTATGAAGCAGACATGAATTATTTGACGTAGTTGTTCATATGGCCATGAACTAGATACTGTTACAGTTGTTCAAGTGTCCATGAATCAAATTTTGTTGTGCGGTAGTGATCACTTAGCCACGAACCAGACCTCGTTGTGACGGTTGAACAGTTTGAAGGGACTGTCGTATCCTGCAGTGTAGTAAAATTCGGTATGGTAAAGAGATGTGTCACCAATGGCAGACATGAGGGACAGTCCTTCCTCTCTGTACTTTTCGTAGTTTGCAAATCCTGGGAAGTCTCTGAAACATGATACAAAAATACATTATACATTGTTTGAAAGGTAAAACATGACAAGCACAATTAGTAACTACAAATGTTCTTAACTTTAATATATTGTACTTTAATTAAACGAACATGGGTTAAACGACCAGGAAACCCGTAGAAAGGGATGACCACATCATCTACATGCAGTATGTATGTATACTAAAATGAAGCACTGTGGCACAAACAATGAACATGTAATCAACTCATTCACCCCTGAAATTTCATAATGAACTATCCAACCTTTGAATGTAAAGAGTTCTAATGTGTTTTCAGGGTTGAATGAGGTAATAATGTATGAACATCAGAATATATGCAGAGTGATATAAACATGTCAAAACACCTGACTAATGATATCAGTATCTGACGGTATTTCTTTTTTAATATTTGACCAACAAATCATGTACTGTAATAATTGATAGATATATCTTAATATCTTAGATAGATGCCTTGTAATGTCTTACAGAGACATCTGGTAATATCTAACAGAGACATCTTGTAACATCTGACAGAGACTTCTTGTAATGTCTGACAGAGACATCTTGTAATGTCTTACAGAGACATCTGGTATTGTCCTACAGAGACATCTGGTAATGTCCTACATAGACATCTTGCAATGTCCTACATAGACATCTTGTAATGTCCTACATAAACATCTTGTAATATCTGACAGAGACATCTTGTAATGTCTTACAGAGACATCCGGTAATGTCTTACAGAGACATCTTGTAATATCTGACAGAGACATCTTGTAATGTCTTACAGAGACATCCGGTAATGTCTTACAGAGACATCTTGTAATGTCTTACAGAGACATCCGGTAATGTCTTACAGAGACATCTTGTAATATCTGACAGAGACATCTTGTAATATCTGACAGACATCTTGTAATGTCTTACAGAGACATCTTGTAATATCTGACAGAGACATCTTGTAATATCTGACAGACATCTTGTAATGTCTTACAGAGACATCCGGTAATGTCTTACAGAGACATCTTGTAATGTCTTACAGAAGAGACATCTTATAATGTCTTACAGAGACATCTTATAATGTCTTACAGAGCCATCTGGTAATATCTGACAGAGACATCTGGTAATGTCTTACAGAGACATCTGGTATTGTCCTACAGAGACATCTGGTAATGTCCTACATAGACATCTTGTAATATTTGACAGAGACATCTTGTAATGTTTTACAGCAGAGACATCTGGTAATGTCTGACAGAGACATCTTATAATGTCTTACAGAGAAATCTGGTAATATCTGACAGAGACATCTGGTATTGTCCTACAGAGACATCTTGTAATGTCTGACAGAAACATCTTGTAATGTCTTACAGAGACATCTGGTATTGTCCTACAGAGACATCTTGTAATGTCTTATAGAGACATCTTGTAATGTCTTACAGAGACATCCGGTAATGTCTTACAGAGACATCTTGTAATGTCTGTCAGAGACATCTTGTAATGTCTTACAGAGACATCTTGTTATGTCTTACAGAGACGTCTGGTAACATCTGACAGAGATATCTGGTATTGTCCAACAGAGACATCTTGTAATGTCTTACAGAGACATCCGGTAATGTCTTACAGAGACATCTTGTAATATCTAACAGAGACATCTTGTAATGTCTTACAGAGACATCCGGTAATGTCTTACAGAGACATCTTGTAATATCTAACAGAGACATCTTGTAATGTCTTACAGAGACATCTGGTAATATCTGACAGAGACGTCTGGTATTGTCCTACAGAGACATCTTGTAATGTCTGACAGAAACATCTTGTAATGTCTTGCAGAGACATCTGGTATTGTCCTACAGAGACATCTTGTAATGTCTTACAGAAGAGACATCTTATAATGTCTTACAGAGACATCTGGTAATATCTCACAGAGACATCTGGTATTGTCCTACAGAGACATCTTGTAATGTCTTACAGAGACATCCGGTAATGTCTTACAGAGACATCTTGTAATGTCTGACAGAGACATCTGGTAATATCTGACAGAGACATCTGGTATTGTCCTACAGAGACATCTGGTAATGTCCTACATAGACATCTTGCAATGTCCTACATAGACATCTTGTAATGTCCTACATAGACATCTTGTAATATCTGACAGAGACATCTTGTAATGTCTTACAGAGACATCTTGTAATGTCTTACAGAGACATCTTGTAATGTCTTACAGAGACATCTGGTAATGTCTGACAGAGACATCTTGTAACATCTGACAGAGACATCGTGTAATGTCTGACAGAGACATCTGGTAATATCTGACAGAGACATCTTGTAATGTCCTACATAGACATCTTGTAATGTCCTACACAGACATCTTGTAATGTTTTACAGAGACATCCGATAACATCTGAGAGACATCTTGCAATGTCTTACAGAAACATCTGGTAATGTCTTACAGAGACATCTTGTAATGTCCTACAGAGACGTCTTGTAATGTCTTACAGAGACATCTTGTTATGTCTTACAGTGACATCTTGTTATGTCTTACAGCGACATCTTGTAATGTCTTACAGAGACATCTGGTAATGTCCTACATAGACATCTTGTAATATTTGACAGAGACATCTTGTAATGTTTTACAGAGACATCGTGTAATGTCTTACAGAGACATCATGTAATGTCTTACAGAGACATCGTGTAACATCTGACAGACATCTTGTATTATCCAACTTTTTTCTCTCCAAAATTTGTTTTATAACCTACCTTACGTAAACCTTTACTGCAGGTATGGTGGTGAACTGGATGTTTTTATCACCAGATGCGGGAGGAGCTTTTGCAGCAGGGTCCACGAAGAAGGACATGCTGAAGTTAGACGTGCATGTTGGCCCTGGGCCTGGAGTGACCAACACGATAACTGGGCAGGTCATTGTCACCTTCTCATCTGTAACACACAATACAGGAAATAAAGATCACAGATGTCTTCCCCGATAATTTATCTGTTATTTTTATCGGAGTAAACATCGTGCTATTGAGATCATACACTGACTCAATAAAATTGGTTCTTAAAAATGCTGGAAACGGAAAACCTATAATCATGTGATTTGAACTTTAAATCTATTGGAGTAACTTTGAATACAAGCTGAGGTCATTTTTATTAAAAAAAAAAACAACATTTAATCCCATCTAGCTTCTGACAAAATTTCATTTTTTCAATGAACAAATTTGATCTCTATGACCTTCAATTCTTAACTCTAGGCCTATTGTGGTTTCTAAGAAGAAAATATTTTTAAGTTTTTAAAAAATCTCTCTGTTGCTCTGTTGTATATTTTCAGTTGTTGCTGTTTATTTTTCATTATAAAGGACAACTTACCTTTCACATTTTTGCCGTCAATGTAATTGAAAAGCTTCCTAAAGTTGGACCTGCTAGCCTTATCATACTCAATGCCAGTACTGTATGTTGTCACCCAGTGGGATTCAGGATACTGGCGCACCTCATAATTCTAGTAAATGTTAAATAAAATAAAATTATAGATAATGTACAATATTTGGTCACTCAACAATCTTAACAGTGTCTATTTTGATAGGATTTCAATTGTTTTTTAATCCCCACTGTGTGAAAAGGGGATGTCTCGCTTAAATATAATGACAGTTATAACTATAGACTATAATGTTAGATTAACAATTAGATAAAGTTAATATATATGTTTGTGTTAATCAAACATACAATACCAGTGGTTACAGAATCAATCTCTGCGACAGCTTGTATTCAATGACGTAGTCTTCCTTTTCTGTTTGTGCTACATATCTCTTACCAGGTATAAGTTATCACATATACTTGTACGTGGCTTTGACAGTCTTGTCATATCTCAATTCTGTTGTTACCCAGGTACTTACCCCAGTTTTATTTGTATACACAACGGAATAATCTGGAGAACCCAGTCCATTGCAAAGATCCAATTTCTTTGTCAGTGGTTGGTTGTCATGGGGAATAAACTTGAGTGGGAGACTGTCAAGAGAATTCCACTCCAACTGTCTGAAGGCGCTAACGCCAGACACCATAACAACTAAAACGGATAGCAGCATCATCTTCAAGCTGGTGAAACAAAATATGAACAAATTATTTTAGGTGTAAAATATCCTCTGCTTCCCCAGATACATCCACAAACATAATCTATATTTCATTTACCTCATCATTGCACATATTTCTGTACAGGATGTGCATTATACAGTGCAAGTGCCTCAGCTGGTGGGAATTTCCCTCATATACTATAAAAGCCCTGCAGCAGCGTAGTGTCTGAATTAAAAGTCTGGGATCATGGGTTCAATCCCACGTGAATGTACATATCGAGACTCTAGATCTTTTCATTACCTCTTTCTTATATTAATTAAGGACATTCCTGGAGAGGGCCCTGGGGCCATTTATCCCTCAAAACCAAAACTGCCTTCTCCTCTTCCTAATTTCAATTTAATTTTAATTTTTTTATATAATGGCCCGTTCATTTTATTTATTGACTGAAATTCCTGAAAAAGGCCCACTGCCATGGCAAGGAGCAAAATATCCTGGATTGCGGTGGTCTTTAAGGACAAAGACTTGAAAAATGGGGGAGTAGTGTAAGGGTCATGTATATTGTACAAAAATTCGCCTCACTAGTCTGGCTAGTGGAATGTCACTTTCCCTCCAGCGGTAGTGATACCAACTATATAGTGTCTTGAATGGCTGGTTGTTTCCCAGAGAATATATTAATATACACACTTTTCTTTTCCATCTTATAACATTAACTATGTCTTTGTTTGGAGTAAGACTCCTCCATTATCAACTTAGTTTTGTACTGTTAAATATTGTGTAGCATATAGCAAAGTTTCCTCTGGTCCCGATACCAGACTTGGACATCTTGACAGATAGATGTTGTTCATGTGTGTGACCACACCAGACATCTATCTGTCAAAATGACCAAGTCTGGTGTATAGCAGGTCCAGTACACTCTGCCGATTGAGCTATATAGCTATAAAGACCTATAAATTATAGCTGTATTGAGCTATATATGCTCAGATTTCAAATTTCATTAAATTAAAGCAAAGTCGCATAAAACAATAAGGTTAATGGTAATGTTGACTACAAAAAGCATACATTAAGATGTTTATTTTCATTTTTCATAAATGTAAAATTTCCGCTTTCTTTACATCATTATTTTTTAAAAAGAATACTTATATTTAATGTCTTTTGTTATCAACCTAATGATAAATCTTCTTTTACATGCGACTTTGTTCCCTTTTCCTTAAAAAAGAAAATCACTTGAAAATAGCTCAAAAGACCTATTTCAGATAGGTCAATAGAGCTATTATAGGTCTTTACAGCTATATAGCTCAATCGGCCGAGTGTACTGGACCTGTATAGGGCCATAGGAAACATGGGCCAGGTGCAGCAGTACTTGACATGGATGCAAGTTGATAACAAGTGACCAGGTAGCTCTGACAGTGCATTTCCTGCACCTTTTACAGTATGTGGCACCCATCAAAATATAAACCAATGCAAAGCGTTATATGGTCAGTCACCTTCTTTGAGTGTTTTCAGGGTTGAACATTTTGTTGAGGGAGGGAGATATATATGTATGTAGTGGAACTGGTGAGGGTCATGATTAATTGCTGGCAACTCAGAAACTCATTTGGTTAGAGCGTTCATCTGAAGGCCTACACAATAGAGGTCCCTTGTTCGAATCCTGGTCTGACCATTTAATTTCTTTTCACTTTAGTTCACATGTATCAGAGCTAACTCTTGTTCTATTTATCAGGTTGGGCACAACTGCGCATATGGGTAATAATACTGCATTTGGGTATAACAGTTGCCCATTTCTGTAACAATTTTATTATTAAGGATGTACTCTTCTGAGGTTTCAGTCACGTTCAAGTCTCGTTTTGATCTGGTGTAACGGGTTTTTGTAATATTTAACAAATTATGATAGGTATAATAGCAAACACACATCTGAAAAACATGTAAAAAAAATAGATGTCTGTTGTGTGTAGAACATTTTTTTACAAGAATTTTAAAAAAAATGACCAATTTGGCAGCCATTTTGAAAAAGTGTATTTATGTGAATTTCTTGCGCTTCACAAAGGGCCAAAATTCTCCTTTTTTGACACTAGATGGATCACTTAAATTGTCATTGTGTCACCATTTTTAATTGTAGCAGGTTCAATTTTGCTGTACAACTTTATAATGTTCAATATGATTAAAATAATATGCAAAAAAGTGGAAAGTTAAATATTATTGATATTTTTTTTTACATATTAGGGTAACTGAAGCACTTTTGATTTTTGACCCCGAAAAAGGTGAAAAATAACACAAATAATAATGGGACAAAAAAAGAAGCACACCGACCCCCCATTTTTGTGGCTGTTTTAGAAAGAGAAACACATTTTCTTTTGATTCATTGAATACTAAAAAAAGTTTAATACAGGATTTTTTTATATCAAGCGTTTAATCGGCAAAAAATGGTGAAAAATGTGCATTTTTTCATTAAAAAATAAGGGGTAGGGGTAACTAAAATCGCATTTTTGAGTAAAATGAATAAGTTTAAGACATTTTACTTCCATAGTTTCAAAGAAAATAATATTTTTATCAATTCTACAAACATTCATACATATCTGATAACACACTTGGAAGAAATTGTATGAATTTGTTCTGCCAATGGTCAAAACCCGAAAATTCACCTAAAATCACATATTGTGTTAAATTGGTATCTTTGACCGATCATAGCACAAAAACGAACACACCGACATATAGTTTTTTTNCGATCAAAGCACAAAAACGAACACACCGACATAGTTTTTTTTGCATTTTCTACTATGCCATTATCTCCTTTTTCCAAAAATCAATATAAGAAAAAAGGTTTAATACGGGATTTTTTTGACTTCTCAGAGGTGTACATCCTTAAGATGGGGAATAAAGTGAATAAAAACACTTTTTAAGTTCTTTTATAGCTACTTTATAACACAATATAAGCAATGGAGGTGATACAATTGGTCATGTTCACATACAAATTTACACAACTGAATAAACATTTTTATGCACATTTGTATTTTTCATTTGGGTATGTTGAAAGCATGACGCCCATTTTTGTTTATAATGTGTAAAAGAACTTTGTGTATTTTTATTTTACTTAATTCCCCATTCCAATAATAAAATTGTTACTGAAATGGGTAACTGTTCCCCAAATGCAGGGGTATAACCCATCTGTGCCGTTGTGTCCAACCTGTTTATGATGAATTAAATAGTTTGTTTTTTGGTACCTGGCTGCTTACTGGGGCACGCACCGAACAGCACTTTGCTTTAGTGATGGGTGCCATAGGACCTACTGTAAATGGTGCGGGAAAATGCACTGATCAGCTGAAAGACTGAGATTCGAACCGAAGAAAATATCAGTTTTTCTCTCTCGGCCGCTATATTGCCGGGCGATTATCTATCTTAGTTACAAGCAAATTAAGTTTAGTTAAGTAGCATTATATACCAGAAAGGTACATAGGAGGCTTGCTATGTTAAACTTACCCGTAAGTCTTCTAGCTGTGTGTGATCTAGATTTCCACCCGTGTCAACTTGCTTGCGTAACTTGTTTGCCCTCGCTGGTGTTTACCGACGTCGAGTCCAAAAGGCCGTGGTATGCAGGGGTGTTCAGCAAGAACAGAACTTTACATAATTAGCCGTAACATACTAACTACACAAAAACATGATACCAAAACATGAACAAATAAAGTAATTATTATATATTAATCACTTTTAAGGCTAAATATATACATTCAACATGAGAGACATTTACTTAACAAAACCTTTCTACCACCAGTGTGAAATGGAGTCGTTATCCGGAAGCTCTCTTATTTTAACCTGCATGTGACCGGCACGTTTTCTACCGCGTGTTTAGGTTGGTTGTATAACGAGAAAATATGAGTAAGATCTCGCGGATGATTGCTTCAGACTCAAATGCAGATTCTTTGTAGGAGTTGCAAATTAATCCGTAAGTACATTAATATTTATAATGCAGGTATAACAACAACCTGTGTTCAACCGTTTTACCATAGAACGTATTCTGATAGTGAAACCGAGCTATAAATAGCACAAAAAGGTTAGGGATGTCCTGAAATCTATTTTTACACTTATTTTTTGCTATTCCTCAGTTAAAAGTCAGAATTTCTAACACCTGTGAAATAAGGCCGTCAAATATTTTAGAATTGCTATAACTGCCTTAATAGCCTGTCGTCCACGATTGTACAGCAGACAAAGAAATAAAATTAAGCCTGTTCAGGTTTAACATGTTCAAATAATTCGGGAGTTTGACATTTTAATTGATGAACATTTAAAAAAACCCACCAATCAGCTATGATACGTGCAAAACATATACGAATATGTTTTATATTTTTGTAATGCTGATATTGACACTCATACAAACTACATGTTGAATTGGACTTATATATACAGGCTTTAAAAGCCTTCATGCACCCATTATTATTCAATTAAAATTTATAATAGGTTTCTGGATGCGGGTGCAACTATAAAGCAGTGTTTTAGATTATTCCTGTATAACCATTGGGAAATAAAGCATTATTTTTTTTATTGAAATTGAGAAGCGTTAGATCTACGTACTCTACTCATTTTTCTTTATTTTGCTAAAAAAAATCGGCTGTCAAATTAGACAATAATCAATATAGTTTTGACTTTGACCTAAATTCAGCTACAGTCTTTCAATTGGATTATATATACACCTTTTGAACTTGGTCACATTCTGTAGTTTTAGACCGACAGAGTGACACAATTCCTACTCTGTTAACATACATGACATAATCAATGTATATTCTGCTGAAGTAATGCTATATGTGTTCACTGCAGATTCACGAGTATCGACTGGCTTGTTCATTACGCAATCTAGGAAACCGGAAATGAGTATCTTCAGCACGATCAAGAGTGCAATCATTACGTCCAGTGGACTGGATAGTCCAGCGTACAAAGAGGTTAATAAACAGGTAAGTAGAATTGCACGAAGCATTAAAAAAAACAACGTAACAAGTTTCAGTTGGTCTCATTTCTTTATCAGAAACATCACCGGTAAATTGAGTTGTTTAAAATGTACGAAATGACAATTATATTGACAAGACAATTTGGATATGCTTTAAGGTGCATTTTACAGTGTCAGAAATGACGTAGTCGATTCGGTTTCGCTTCGGTTGCCATTGGTTACAACTTTTGGTGTCTTTAGCATTATTCGAAAGATTACATTATGCTCGAAGACGCCGCTCGCTCAAAGCCGTTTAGAGTTCGACAGATCCTGGCGCATGTATCCGGAATTGACACCCACAAAGGGTAAACAAACAATTTGAGGGAAGAACAAGAAAATGCCAAACGAAAGTTCATGTATCAGTAGTAACAGACTTATAAAACTACCCTGTCCGAGTGGTGATCTTCCTGTTTCTCATGGCATCACCACGTGACCTAATTTGCATATGAATAATAGATTTTGGTTTTTCCCTACTAACAATAGAAAGTTCTTGTTCGGGTAGTAACAATAAAACAATGGAGCATCAGTGTTAAAAATAGAAACTCAGAGTAGCAACAATAAAACAAAGGAGCAATACATTTTTTCACAGGACTATTCCCCCGTGAGTTTTCTGCTGTGCCGTTGACGTGGAAACTTAAAAATAGAACATTCGGTCATCATTGATATAAGTTAATGAAACACTGCTGTTTGTCAGGTAACGCCATGGGAGAATACGTCTTGGACATGGGCACGTATGCCACAACCACACCAGACAGCACATCCCTTTTGTCGATACCAAAAGACTGTTTATCGATATTAATAACACGAGAGCAGCGTTTGAACACAGGGTCACGTTACAATCACACATATGCTATAATGATATGGGTCACAACACACATAAATATACAAAAACATCGTGTCTGGCATCGTGTCTTGGTATGTATTTCACATTTTACGCTTAAGAGTTACTGTATCAAAAATATTGGACTATGTAAATGTGAAATACATACCAGGACACGATGCCAGACATGATGTTTAAACATTGCGCCAAAAAATATTTGCTGCGGGACTAGGATCTACTCGGGGGGCCTGAGTTGGGACTTTCTGTAGTATTTGGCAGTATAGTATAAAGACATGTCGAAAAGCCCTCATCATTTCCGGGTCAGGTTCAAGTTAATCATGGCGGTAAAACTGCAAATTCTCCGAAAAAGTGCTTGATTGGATGTATTAGACGAATGTTTACACAATTAATCATGATGGATTACTTAATTACAATTCAAACTGAAGCAATCGCCGCAGAAATTAGAGAAATATAAAAGTTGTAACTTACCTTTTTTTGTTGTTGCCAAAAAACTGTCAATGGAGTCAGATATGATCTCAATCCCCCCCCCGGAACACCTGTGCTCCCCCAACGACAAAAAAATCAATAGGCCATACAAATCGATCAAGTAATACCCTTTTAGAAATCAGCCATTTTGGAAAAGCCAACTCATTCATATTTAATTAGTTCACATGGTGACGCCATTAGAACAATAGGGAACAGGAAGCTCACCACGTCAGGGTAGTTCTATACCACTGGCATCATATATATATACTCATCCCTTTTTGGAGGGATGATTCGAAACCTTGATCGCGGCGAAGGCGTAGAATACCATGGAACCCTACAAGAAGGAACGAAGCAAATCAGACGCGAGAACTGTGATGCATCCTATATCAGGCATGGTGGACAATGTGCATGATGTATACATAATTTATTGTTATGTTGTATACGTTACTCATTCGTGAAATTTCGCATTTTATTTCACTTGTCCGTTTTCGGTCTAAGCTTAGGATTGACGCATTTTTAGTTTTGAACTCTTTCAAAACCCGGTTTTGTTATATGATGATGTCATGGCGGAAATTCATATGTAGGAACACTGAGTATTGCCAAGTATTATCTCAACATTTGTAGTGAGTTTGTATTGAGATGTTAAGAGTCTGATGTAGATGATACATCCTGTATCAAAAACATGTGATATATTTATTTCCGTATTCACTTGTGCGGCGTATGTCCTGTCATCCTTGAAATCTCATACACCCATTTTCTTTGCATGATGTCAGGTAAAAGGTCTGATACAGGTCTACGTTCAAGCACAGGTACAAGCCTCGTCTGTCAATACACCTGCTATGGGTTAACTGATAGACAAGGTTCAAACAACGCCTTTCATGTAACAAGGTCAAAAGTTGAACCGTATTTCCGGTTTACCCGGAAATCTTCACAAATATAAGATACCAATCAATATTACAGGGACATGCTAATTTGTTACAGCTATATTTAGACATTAACTTACAGGCACGTGTAATCCTCCAATTTCTTCAAATAACAAAACAAAACAAAAACTGCTCTTAGCATCTAGTGTTTCAAGAAATTATGCATGCTGGTATAAAAAACAATTAAAACACAATCTTAGTGTAGAATGTCTCAATTTTGCAGTTAGTTTGTGCGATTTACCTTCTGGAAAATGATCTTAGGCAGATAGATCTCAAAATTCATATTTTATTTTCTCCACCGGGCCGATCCCCTACCAGGACCATACTCTGGACACGAATGGGAGGGACTAAGAGGTCCCCACACCCCGCGCCCACAATTTTGACAACTTTCGTCGCTCCTAAATGAATCCACTCAGAGGAAGGGCAAGCTACGCCCCTGACTGAGATGTTCAGAGTGATTGATGTACGTTTTAGGGGTTTAGATCAATTTCGGTAAAAATGCTATCCCCAATGATGGAATATACGAAAGCCAGTTAAAATGAGCCTATGTCCAAATGTAGCTGTAACAAATTCTCTGGTCCCGATGGTTTGTAGGGCAAGGGCACTGTGAGAGACTTGAAACCAATATGTACGGTAAGCAATTGTTACGAGAGTAATACGACAACTGTAACTTTGGGTTCCTTTATTTTTAGGATGACGTTGACGAGCGGAGATATGCGGCCGCAAAATGGGTCAGTACCAGTATCCAAGGTATGGAGCATGACAAAGCGCAAAAAGAGGGGTTCCAAAGGCTCTTCAAATACATCACGGGTAACAATAAGCCAGGTAAGATTCCGAATGCCCTTCAACAACATCACGGTTAGCAATACGTCAAGATCAGATTCAAATTTGCCCCTATAATCCTTTTCTCTTTCTTCATCACATATACCGCCCCACACCTCATCCCCGCTACTCATTACCACACCGGATCTCTCAGATACGATGAACTATAATAACCAAGTCAGTTGATTCGAATTTTGGACCCAGAAATGACCACCCCTATCCTGAAAGCGCAGCATTTGTGCGAATTGTGTGAAGTCCTTTAACTCGGTATTACTCTCAAGTCTTCGTTAGGTGTCAACTATCATTTTGTAAAAACAACACCGGATAACATATTTAAAACAACGTTTTTTTCCTCTTCGAATTGCAGGCACCAAAGTTGACATGACGGCTCCTGTTGCTACGCGTGTAAATCCAGGAGCTGGTCCAAACTGTGAAAATACATTTACTGTATCATTCTACATCCCAACCAAGCATCAAGAAGACCCTCCTCAACCGAGTGACCCGAACGTGTTCATCGAAGAATGGCCAGAACGAACCATACTTAGTCAGGGGTTCGGAGGGTTCGCTAAGGAGGAGGCGTGGCTGGGGCAGGCCAAGAAGCTGGCATCATGTGTGGAGACAAAGGGGGTGAAGGTCAAAGAAAACGTCTGGTTCACGGCCGCCTACAACAGTCCCTTTCAACTGTTCGGCAGGACTAACGAGGTCTGGTTTGTCAAGGAGTGATCAGTCTCTGACGGGTTGTAAATGTGAGGAAGGCAGATAACCTGTAGTTTTGATGGTAGGATTAGTTTGAAAGTCACTGACAGATGGCTCTAACAGCAAGATTCAATGAATGATGGTTCAACGGTATGGAATCCACAAATGATAATTATGATGGTAGAAGTAATTAATGAAGGCGGATTGTTCTTAATCAAGGGCTGAATTGTGCTAGAGGTTGAATTCTATTCGGAGCGCGATTCTGACGGCGATATTCGATGGATGATGATTTTGATGGTGGGGTCAAGTGAAGATGGTGCTCACCGGCAAGATTCATTGACTAGTGTAACCACGGACTTAGATAATCTAATTCCGTGTGGTGTAACTGATAAGGTGGTGTAATCAGGAAGGTATATATATATGGACAAGTCGAATTTTAGATCGTCGATAATGGCGGATAGTTCCGACAGTGTTATTAATCCTGACACTAAGACTTTTAAAGGAGACAACAATATGCATGTGTGATTGTGAATGTACATTTATAAGACCGAGGAAAAAGAGATTTTGATCAAACCCAAAACCAGTTTGGGAACGCTCAGGGAAACTGTTGTCACATTCAAAATTCTGGTCTGTATAAAAAACGGAGTGCTGCAAATCATTTGATGTTCGCGATCGTCTTCCTATAGTGAGCGAATATATCAATTTATGTGTGACATTTTCAATAAACATGAATGCATGTATGTGATATATTTAAAATTCCGAAATGGTATCAGTATGCACCTGTACATTGTTTTCAAATCTCTCTTTATACCTTCACAGTTGTATCATGTGATATTCCTGTAAAGTGCTGATACGTAACGCTATTACGCAATACATGTTTGAACAAAGATGGCGACTCTTTATTATACAGTCGTGTACATGTTATATGGATGTAGTCAAAAAGATGTAGTGTTTTCATCATCATCAGAAATATATTTATGCGTCGAACATTCAGTTTTGTGTTATTTAAACGATCAACGTTGTTTATTCTGTTAATAAAAACATTTTATCTGCTTTATGCTATTGGGGTTTAAGTGGACGCTGGGTAGCAACAGTGTCCCTCCGTTTCGATGATAGACACTGTTTCAAACGTAAAATGACAGACTGTGAAAGGGCCCAAAATACGTAAACCAAGTGGTCTTGTGGTGCAGAGGGATACCCTGATAATGGCGACATTTTCTTGGCTGGAGTTAAGGTACTGCAACACAGCAAAAATAAGTACATGTACAGTATTCTTAAAAAAAAGCCCACTAAAAATTTCATTTACATGAGTTTTCTAAAAGGAAATGAATTTCAAAAAAATGCATCCAACTTATTTTTTTTTTATTAAAATCCATTAACCATAAAATAAATAAGGGTCGTGATTTTCCATTGTTTAAATGACATTTTTATTAACCTATTCGTTAAGCGGATTATTGTAGAAACACCGTGTGACCTAACTTGTACGCATTTTCTGTTTGGTGTGATTCCAATGAAGTTACCCCTACTCCATCCTGCGGGGAAAACTTACATTCTGACGTTTGTCTTCTCAAATGCTTCCAGTCAAAACTTCCAAGTAACATTTCACTAAGCATAAAATAGGTTTTGGGATATTCTTTTAAACTCGCTGAGGTATTTAACTTTTACAAGCATGCCTTACCTTGATTGAACATAATTATATTCTATATTTTTTATGATATTAAACGAAAACGATTAAAAATACATGCCCTTTCCTTTTTTCTTACGTAAAAATAGTTTTAGCAAGGAAGATAAATAAGAATAATGGACTATTTCTATATAAATAGCCCATTTTAAAGAATTATGAGGGACTATATTATGCTTTCTTACGTTGGTAAGTTTCATACTATTATAGAATTCAGCATCCTCGTTATCCAGGGGTTACGCTTACTTTTGCTCAGGTAAAAAAACCTTTCCAATCGCTAGGCTGATACATGTCCTTTGAAGATTACAAAGGAGCGACGCCCGACTTCAAAGCCTGTCATTTTTAACCGTTACGTGAACGCGAGATTCCTTTGATGTACATCAAAGGAACAAGGTGGCGCACACCAGGGACGTATATACTGTCCCTGCGCACACCGAGCCTTCACTTTTGCTATGACAACTATTCCAAGTTTAAAGTTTTATTTTTACACTCACGCCACACGTATAAGTGCGTAACAATAGGTCACATATTACATAGTATACATTGATGGACATAGTACACACATAATATGACACATGATACAATTTATACAATAACAACCCATTTCAATAATTCTTTCAGCTAACTTATTTTAGATATTAAGTAGCCTCATTACTCTTTGTATAAATTTACTGAGCGATAGTGAGCGTAACCCCTGGATATCGAGGATGATGTACATACAGAACTCCCAGAAGGTGAAACTGACGAGACAACAGGGAGGACAAAAACAGGAACTGAGGAGACCCTCGGGAACCTATGTCGTTACGTCACCGCGGACTGTTTCGTCTCCCGTGAAAGGTATCGGATCAGATCAGAATAAAACGCTTCGAAATATTTCACGATTTCCCACTTGTTCATGTGTACGTCGTGCAATATGTATACGGACCGTTTTCTGTAATCCTTTTAGCTTAACTGTTCATAAAATGCTATATAAAATCTGTTGTTTTCATTTTTTCTCTCAAATTTAATGAATTTAAAAACTTAAATGACAGCCGGGATCCCAGATCGTACGTAAAAGGGTATGGGGTCTCCTGCTCGATCACTTGGGTTTTCTCCTGGTACTACGGTTTCCAGGCGCGTAGCTGGGCTCTTTTGGATGTGCATGCAGAAAGCCGCACCGAAGGTGCGAATGCGAGCGCCGAAGGCACGAAGCCATTCTAGGGGGGAACGGGGGCATGCCCCCCCCCCGGATTTTTTTTAGATCTAGAAGCTCTGTCGTGCCATCTGGTGGCTTTTTAGATACATATTTGAGTGTTTAAATTTATTTTTACAGACAACATTATTGGAAAGCAACGCAAAAATTCAAATATATTTCAAATGCGAAAGACAGCTCTCCTTTTTTTCTCTCCGACAAAAATGTGTCGATTGTTGGAATTACCCGAAAATATCCGTGGCGTCATATCTCTTTCCTGATGAATCTAAATTAACTAGATATTTAAAATGTCGGAGCCAATATAAACAGATTAATTTCAGATTTTTTGCCGTTGTGTCCCCAAAAACCTTTTAATATCATCAATATTTCTCAGAACATAAGATGACGGTAGCTCCTATATCGATATATGTATACACATATTACTTATTCTTGATCATGAGTGAGGAAACCTACAGTGGTTGTGGGATACAGGTGTGGCACAATTTAATATATATCCAGTAGCTCTACTGAAGACTACTAGGACTACTCTGAAAAACATACTTTATCAGTTCATGACAGGGACAAATGAAGGACAGGCCTATATAATGTCACAGATTAGCAAAAGCTACATGTACGTGGCTTTTTTTTCTGACTTTTGAGGCTTTGCCTTTTTCATATTACATTTGCAGGCGAAGTGAATGTAAAACTCAGATGGATCCTATGCGCGCATATCCGCCCTTAAATCATAACAATAATGCTAGTAACAAATCAATCTACAATTGTTATTCGGAAGACCTTTAATTGGTGAAAAAAAATACACAAAAATACATCCATTCCGGAAAAACAACCCGCCTCCGTTCACTTAGTTGTATTTCATTACAATCGCTTGTTAAAATGTTGACGTGAATGGAACTTGAACACGTGAGCTTTTTCCCATCTTTTTGACAGGATATCGATATCCACCTTCACTTTAGTAAGACGAATATCGGCCTCACTGGTAACAACATTCAGATTCAGGGGGTGGGTGGGGTACCCAGGGATTAATTTTGGGTTTTGCCCAACATTTTCAACTCAAAAGACTCAAAAAAAAACCTAATAAAATATAATTGTCATGTCGGTTGTACATGTATACTACTTTCTGGCACCAAACAATATATAGAACTTCGTTATTTCTGAGATTGTGACAATTATAATTTCCCTGTCGAGCAGAGCCAAGCGAATTCTTTTTTCTGAAGATGTACATGTAATACTAAACTTGTTCAAGCACTGTCAAGCGTAGAAAGCTAGAATTTATCGGACATTATTTCCATTGTCAAACAGACGAAGTTTGCGGTATTATTCCAGGTTATATTTTAAAACATGGAGTATTTATATTTTATGATGGCCGAGCGGAGCGAGTGTTAACAAATTCTCTGAAACAATGCATGGTAAAAATGTAGGTTTTTTGGTTAAAATGTTGATGTTTGTGTCATGTGCATGTAGTTTAGGCGAGGATTTTGGCAATTAAATATTGATTTAGTTTGTCATAAAAATGAATTATGATTTGACTGTTTGTCTTTTATTGTGAATTTGTATGCATGCATATGCACAAGGGCAACACCTGTTAAAAAGGATATGTATATACAATACCAGGCTTTTATGCTAACATTGGTTATTATTCACCTGATAACGTGATGCTAAGGTGGATGCTTTACTGTCTTTGAAACTTTTGAAATTTACATATGTGAACAGGTATAATAAATCACTCCTGGTAATCATGTGTACATGAAACCACAGGTGAAAATACAGGTTCATCTATCATGAAATGGACTCTACCTTTGAAATAACAAGTAACATATATACCTAATTCCAACAGATGGTTTTATCCTCTCTCCACGAACAGGGTGATCACCATACCGTGACATTAGAACAATACAATTAGGTTCAATTTATTTCCGTAAGTTTTACAACTTATAGGATTTCAACAAATAATTTCATATAAGTACAACATATAATTACATATTACTGGCACATTCATCACAAATCAGTAGCAACAGCAACATCATCGAAATCATAATTCATCGCTTTCATCATTATCATCATCATCATCATCGTAGTGGCCGTCGTCGTCATCTTCATCATCGTCAAAGTACAACAACATGGCATAATTATATGAATTTCATAAAACTGGTACATTTTTTACAAATCACCGATATTATTGAAATCCTTACCACTTTCATCATCATCATCATCATCAAGGTAGACAGTCCGTTGAGCCTTCACCACTGACCTGACTGGAGACCCTACTAATATATAAACAAAAGAGGATTAACCCCCTATGGTTTTAGAGTATAAGTAGTGGACTCCTTGTTTGGGCAACTGCACCCTTAGGCATATATAGATATTCAAACTGCTGCTTGCCATAGAAAATCATAGTTCACATAATGGTTGATATTAGAAGAAAATCCCATATGAAAAAGAGGAAAATCTTCAAAAACCTAAGTCCAGATTATTTTTGGATACTAGGCCCTGATAGTTGCCCGAGCAACTAGGGCAACACCCCTATAGGTCCGCCACTGAGACTGATCAGAACTGTGTTCGGTCCGGCATTACTAGGCCCTGATACTAATAGCCGATTTAGACTCGTCGATGCCTAAGTTAATGTCGCAAGAGGATGTTGTTTCATGTGAACCTACAGCTGCTTGGAAGATGTCATGTATCAACTTGTTCTTCGAAGATGATGCGGGTTTTTCGTTGGATTTGCAGTCATGCATGTTTCCGATGTTGACAACTTTAAAAATACTAATAATAAAATCGACACCAGTATACAGTATATGCAGGGTACATACAAATAACGAGAAGTATTGTAGTGTATGATAGGGAATGGCCTCATTGTTTAAGGGACTAAAACACTAACTATCAATCCTAGGTTGGAACTTCCGGATACGTAATGATTGTCGGCTGTCGGCTAAGCTAACAATCTAATTCCGTGGTTAAATTTAATATATTTTTCAATTGAACCACACATCATTTAATCACTTTTCCGAACTACAAAATAAATACAAATATGATAGTAACTGCTTACAGTGTATTTGCTTACGTGGCAGCTACGTATACGCGCCTGGTTTCCTCCCATATTAAGAAACCCCTCGCGCTAAAATCCGGGCCAACAAGAGTGATAGAACAGAGGCTGAAATAACTTGTTTCATAATTCTTATAACATAAATAAAGTCGATGTTGTGATCTTACTTGAGTCATGTTTGTCAACTGACATCTCAGCTATTCTTATACTACCCGAGTCTAAGAATAAACAACAACAACAACATCCGTGGTTCTAGATTATTTTTGTGGCAATAAAAACAATCGAAGAGACAGGTATTCACGAAGAAAAAGAAATGATTTAAATTCACTTTTTTATATGATCCGATAAACTGTGACACTTACAGTAAAGATAAAACTATTAGCCTATATATACTTTGATTTGCACAGCAGCAGTATGTTCGCCGGAAGTCTGTAGACATGG